TTTGGGCAGTGAAACTTTGGATTGTGAAGAGATAGGACATCAAAATTGGTATCAATTTGTATAGAATGACAGGATCTACAATATTATTTAGCAATAATAACCAATAAAATAGAATTTGTAAAGTTATAAGCTGATAAATGTGCAAGTTGAAGAAAATTTTCATAATGTCAAAGAAATTGCAAAGGAAATATGAACAGAAATGTAAGAAACATATATCATTTGAAAAGAAATTTAAAAGGAATCAGAAAGCCTAAAGAGATTAATGCCGAACGATGCAGATTGTATAGAAAAATAAGAAAACTGAGCATGACAACTGGCATGAATACATTGAGTGCACCACCTTCTGAACTGATAGATACAGACTTGGAATGTGATAACCACCAATACTTTATTTTTTTACATCTTATCCTTCCTTTAATAAAACAAAGACTAATTCATGCCTTAAACAATTGCAATTGTGTCTCTGTACACAACCCTCCCAATTTTTTTGACCTGCACATCTGGTTATCATGTTTAAAAGATAATTTGAAAGCAAATGTACTGTACATCATATGTCAATTTTAAATTTTAATTACAAATTTATCAGACAGTTTTTCATTTGTCTAAAGTCACTAAGCGTATCTAGAAAATGTGAAAACTTCTTTGTGTAGTTTATTTAGACTTATTCATTGCAGTTTTCCCCAAAACCACCAAAGACTATATATGCATTATCTTGCTTTTAGTTCTCTCCTATTCATTTTTTCTATGTTCAATTCATGCTTTAATTGATATTTTTTAGACAGTCTTATTTGAGTTTGTATCTTGAAAGCTGATAAATGTCTGGTAATTATCCCTATCTGTATAATGACATCACTTCAGAGAACTTTAATAGTTAAGACACAATGTGATAATCTTCCTACTAATATAAATTTATTGCTTTTTTCATTGCTATAAAGTGAATTTTGACAATAAAAATAATTATACACATTTAAAATAATAGTCCTAGTTTGATTGCAATATACAGTGGGTGATTGGTTAATGAACAAATTGGATAACAAACACTTTCGTGAAAGATTTTTATGTTTGGACAACGAACATGTGATCAGATAACGAACATCTCACAGAACAAATGCAAGAAGAAGCGACATAAAATAATGAATACCAATTGGTCTTCCATTGTCTTCAGACAACAATTCAAAACTTTTCGATGCGCAGGAGACATCAACATCAATGCTCAACCTGGTATATACTGATCGGATAGTATTCCTCCAAACTTTGAAACTCTCCCTTGTAATTAAACTCTCCAGCCTTTTATTTTTCTGATAGAAACAATTTTTTTATAGTATTTGCGAGACTGTTGGGTGGGCACTCATTAAGCTTTGTATCCGTTTTTATTTTCAAAAGGTGAAAGTATAACAGCAAAGGTAGAGAGTGGACAGATGTGCAATGTCTGTTGTTGCTGCGCAATATGGTTTGAGTAGGCACAGTTCAATCTTATCTAAGAAAGATACAAGACTGAAGCAGCTTAAGGAGTAACAAAAATCACATCTGAGAAATAAAGAATATTGAAGATCTCATAATGGAACCTGAAACGGATCTGACAACAGAAGAATGACAAGAACTCTTGAATGAAGACCACCAAGAAACTCAACAAGATATTTTTTCTTCTGAAAAAGAGAATGTTGATATTTGCTATTAAACATTTTTTGAAGACGTGGGATGATATCAGAACAACAGTCTTAGAATGACATCCAAACCAGGTTGAGGTTAATAGACTTAGGGATCTCTACAATGACAATGCTATTAATTACTTCTGAAAAATCTTGAAGAAGAGGGAAAAGCAATTGACATTAGACAGATTCTTTAACCCCACAAACGGAAAAAACATCACTAATAAAAATGCAAGACTGTTTATATATGTATATTTATGTATACATATAAATAAATGTAGTAAGAAAGCATATATTTTTTTATTTTTGGGGGTCTACAGAACGAATTAATCAAATTCCCATAAAAATCTGTGGCATATCGATAGTCAGTTAACAAACAATTTGGATAGCGAACAAAGTCTTGGAACGGATTATGTTCGTTAAAAGATGAAAGTAAAAGGGTTCGCACAAGAGAAGACAAAAGGAGAGAAAATGCTGAAAGTCCAGATAAGAAAGATGGCAAACCACTGTATGTGTTTTTTTTTTATGTTTAAGGTAACATTTGTATGAAGTTTAAAATATTATTAAATAACTTTTGAGATACAAAACAGTAGTAAAATAAACTTTCACACAACATTTTCTAAACAGTAATTCGATGGAAAAATCAGAATATCAGCATTCTATTGGATGGCATGATCATTATAATCATTATAGTCTTTATCATCTAAGCAAGCACATCTTTCATTGAACAAGTTTGCTGTCAAAAGACAAAGAATTTTGATATCATATTGCTTCATTTCTGTTTTATTTATCAAATAATAATAATAAATGTGAAAAANAAGAATAAAATGTTTTTTTTTTTTTAATAAAAAAATTTATATAATTGGGTGCAAAATGGGCTTAAATAGACTTAGCCAAATATTACATAATGGAAAGGAGAAATGCAGAGACCTTAACAGGTCAGGGAATCACAGATGGAATTACCTGTATGGACGCTGTATATATGTGTGAGATACCGTGGGTCACAGGTTAAATCCCTACTGATCACTTACTTGGCAGCAATCTGCAAAGACTGCCCACGTTGTCATTTCAGATGGCTTTTTATCGAGTGGTGAGGGAGATTAGCAAGTCAGTAGGCGTCCTTTCAAAGACAGGAGACAGGTTTAACAAATAAACAAAGCATTTATTAAAATCTAAGGTTAACAAAGTCGATTAAGTGCAATTAAATATGAGATAAATATACAAAGGGGCAGCTCTTAGCAGCTCAGCCTATTCTCAGAGTGAGAGAGAGAGTTCACAATGCTCTAATAAAAATACCTCTATGAGGAAACAAATGGTATGTGTTGAAAGGTTTGTAGGAATTGTAGTTCAGCGTAGGAACTGTAGTATGGAAGTTCGAAGCTGTGGGCTGTCTTCTACCGATATCTTCTCCTTTCGTTCGTTCAAGTCCATTGTATGGAGGTCCGGGAGACAAGATGCGCACATTGACAAGTATAATTTCCTTTGGATCACCCTGAGCTTCCAGGGGCTCGAGTTTTTATTTGCTTGTCATGGGAAAGGAGTCACATGATCGTCAAATGTTGACAATAACGGTGCATTCTTGACACTTATGTTTCAACTTTCCCATCTAATTGTTATCACAAACAGTGACCTTCAATCTAATTCTCACAAAGAGCATTTTTTTCTATTGGAGTTGTTTACATTTTTTTCCAACAACTGTGTCAGATTCGCGGATTTCACATATGTGTAATTAATTCATTCCTGTAAAATAGTATTAATAAATTTGTAAGTTTGTCTATCAGAATTGACTGATATAGCTATACTTCTTAAAAATGTATCATATCATATGTAATGTTATTTAATTTATATGTTTTGGAACATGTTAGTTCTAATATTATATGATTGATAACAATATCTGGTAAGTACAATAAGCAGCACCTACTGTATATTTTTATATAAATTGTATTACTAATCAATGATTGTGTAAATTATTTGTCTTATTATTTTTCATAGATAGATTTTTGTGTAAGAGGAATTTTTTCCTGAAAGATTAGAATTGCATTAAGTTATTTTTGAGTTTTGCCTGTTCTCTTATTTATATTGCTGTAAAGTTCTAAATTTGTATTTTCTAAACAATAATTTTATTAATATCTTCATAAAATTGTTTCATATAATAAAGTGTATGTTATTAATTAGTGAATTAATGAAAAGAAACTACAGTCAAATTTAATTTATTGGGACCACCAAATCCAATCTAGATGAATGAAAATCTGGATAAACTGAAATAAGTGGGGTATTGAAATTAAAATCTAAAATTCCGTACTGAAAATACTTTTTAATGATTGAAAATAAACTTATATGCTTTACTAGAAGAAAAAATATTCTTCCTTTAGGACTATACATATAATTGAATCTGTCTTCATTTGTCCTTTCACATGCTTGGCAGAGGCAATAACAAATTTACGGCAATACCGACATTTTATTTGAGGCTACATTTTCGCCGTCCAATGTAAATGAGTTAAAAAGTCCTCTAGCGGAGGTGAACATGTAGCCTCAAATAAAAGGTCGGTATCGCCGTAAATTTGTTATTGTTTCTGCCAAGTGTGTGAAAGGACAAATGAAGACGGACTCAATTATATGTATAGTCTTAAAGGAAATATATTTTTTCTTCTTGTGAATTCGTCCTGGCAATTTATTTTTATATGCTTTACTAACTTGAAACAGTAGGAACATTAAAATTACTCAGTACCTATAAACAGTATGTATTTTTATTCTTGCAAATGTGATGTTTGTGATATCACTGAAATAATGTTTCAGTGATCTCACAAAACATCGCAAAAAGTAATAGTTTTTCCATAAAATGCGTAAAGAAACAATTATTCAAACCAATTGGGATGAATAAATGGGATTTGAAATATTGATTCTGATTTTTTAATATTTGGTGTAATATAAATTAGATATTAATTAAATTTTATAATTTTAATAAACTTGTTTAAATGTTTATAAATATTATAATTTTAAGTATCTGACTTGCCATTTTATTTATTCACTATTGACATCACACAATTGAATTTGCAAAAAGATATAATCAGTTTTTTCTGTTGTATTTTTGTATCAGATATTGTTTAAAAATTTCAAAAGAATGGTTTTTTTTTTTAATAATATAAATTTCAAGCAAGAATATAAAACAAAAAATGGAAATATAAATATTTTCTATAATTTTTACTCTATATTCATTTGTAGTATTTATCTGTGTGCATTTCACAGTTAATTTTTTATATGTATTCACTCAAAATTAACTAAATTTTTCATTAAATCCAGAATATAATTAATTAAAAATATTTCAATACATATTTATAAATTTATTTTTAGCTATTGAAAAAGCAGTATTGTATCTAGAAAAAGGGGAATTGCCTTCTAGTTGGGATAAAGCTCTTCTTATGGGATTAAATGTTCCTTCTGGTGATGATGATAGCCAAGATTCTGATTCTGATGTAAGCAATAATATCAAAGTTTTAGTTTTTGTTTAAATAATTTATGATTTTTAAAATAACTTGCTTTTTTAAAATACAATTTAGACTTCTGATGATGAACCTAGTGAAGAAAAGGATCGATTTGTAGCTCAGTTGTATAAATTTATGGATGAAAGAGGTAATTTATTATATATCCCATAGTTATATAATTATAATATATTTTAAATTGAAAATTTATGATATAATAATAAAATTTTTATGTGATATTAACTGTTAAGATGACAACTGTTTCATAAGATTTAATTCTTAATAACATGAGTTAAGAAACAGGCAAATACATATTTGAATAAATTGAAATATTGTTTAATGAAAAATAATTATTATTAAATCTATTCAAATAGAGTTTTTTGTAGTGATATCTACTTTATATTTGATTCTAATATTGTTTTCCATTTATTCACATTCCTTATAATATACCACAATAACTGTCGTAACTAGGCTGGTGCAGCAGGTGCACAAGCACAGGAGCTAAGGAGCCCTAAATTGGATATAAAAAGATTATCAATAGTATAATTTATTTTTGAATTTAAAATTTTACTGCCAGGGGGATGATTCCATAACATTTTGGTTAAATAAGCAATCATTTCTACCATATTTTATATATATATATATTCTCCTCTCAAATAGGGGCAAATAAAATCTTGCACATGACACATGAAAATTTAGTTATGGCACTGATTACAATATAAGAAAATGAAAGAATGCTATAACATATAAGTGAGATTTTGAGAGTAAATCTATGACAGATTTCAGCATTCTGAAAAAGGAAGTAAAATGTTTGTCAGAAATGTAAAAATTATATTCATCAAAAGAATAATAATAAATAGACTCAGGTTATTAATAGATAATATGAAGATGAGAAAAGAAAAAATAAAAATAGTTAGAAAAGATAATAAAGAAATGGAAAGTGAAATAAGATAAGAGAAAGAAATTCCAATATAATATAATTAGTGCTAAAAAATGAGATAAAAGAAGTTGAAAATGAATGAGAAAGATAAAGGAATGGCATAATCAATGTAACAGAAATAACATATGATAGAACTAGTAGATGTATGAGAAAGAGAATACTTTTTGATGGAATGAGAAAATATTAAAATAAAGAGTAATGTCTTTAGAAAGTGATTTGGTCATAGAATAGAATATTATTTGACCAAATGAAAAGAAGCAGAGAATATAATTTGTGAAGAGATAAGAAAGTGATGTAAAAAGTGATCACATATTTTAAGAAAACAGTGTATTTTATATACTTAAAATTTAAATTCATTAAATGTTTACACATTTCTAACAAAGAAATATATAGTTAAGATAAGAAAAACTNTATATATATATATATAAGTAGAAAATTTACTTTTAATACATATATACATGTATATTAAAAGTATATATGTATATACTTTTAATATACATATATATATGTATGTATATATAAATTGTATGTGCACATACCTGTACACTTATGTAAAACATTTACATATTTTATATAAAATATTAAAAATCAGGTTAAAATAATGAAATATTTTGATTTAATTAAAGTACTATTTGTAATGTATTTTCACCATTTCTATTTGAAAGAGTAATTTAAAAAGTTATAACTTGAAATTGATAGATCAGAAATTATTATTATTAGTTTTATGTTATATATGTGTTATATCTATTTTAATTAATGCTATTTTAGATTATGAATTCTGAATATGGATAAAATCACACAGTTTATATGAAAATTAAAGGAATAATTGTAATAAATCTGTTAATTGTCTTTTAGTTTTCTATAATTCTGTCATAAGTTTTGGTAATATCAAAATATAAAACTATGATTTTATAATAATATTTTGGTATTAAATTTTTCTATGTAGATTTTTATATAATTTGCCATAAACAGATCAGTTCCTTTTTAGTTAAATAAAAGTTTATAGAAAAATATTTAAAAAAACAAACTAAGATATTAGATTTGATATAAATAAAATTCAACTAAATTGTAACCAGTAAGCATAAGTGGATCACAAAGAGAAATGCTTACTTAAAAATTTTAAATTTTTGAATGAATAATAAGGACCGTTTATTGACATGTGCAGGGTCCTTACAGACCTGGAAAATCAGGGAAAGTCAGAGGATAAGATTTTTAGCATAAAAACTGTGGAAAGCAAATACTGGGAAATCTGTCTGTTGCTCTTGCTCCCCTTTTGATCCAAATATGTCTTTAAATTTGGTTCAGTATAGGGAGATCTATGAAAACTAGAGTGACCAAACAAATGGCAAGATTTGTCATGCTTATATCTCGTAAACTATAAATGATGATCTCACGTTTTAATTTTTGTTGGATAGAAGGTTTACGTCTGTACTTAAAATGGTGGTAGTGGTTCTCAGATGCAGCTGTGTGGGGGAGGGATAACATGAACACTGGAAATGATGATGTGGTGCAGAGTTTGGGCAGTGAAACTTTGGATTGTGAAGAGATAGGACATCAAAATTGGTATCAATTTGTATAGAATGACAGGATCTACAATATTATTTAGCAATAATAACCAATAAAATAGAATTTGTAAAGTTATAAGCTGATAAATGTGCAAGTTGAAGAAAATTTTCATAATGTCAAAGAAATTGCAAAGGAAATATGAACAGAAATGTAAGAAACATATATCATTTGAAAAGAAATTTAAAAGGAATCAGAAAGCCTAAAGAGATTAATGCCGAACGATGCAGATTGTATAGAAAAATAAGAAAACTGAGCATGACAACTGGCATGAATACATTGAGTGCACCACCTTCTGAACTGATAGATACAGACTTGGAATGTGATAACCACCAATACTTTATTTTTTTACATCTTATCCTTCCTTTAATAAAACAAAGACTAATTCATGCCTTAAACAATTGCAATTGTGTCTCTGTACACAACCCTCCCAATTTTTTTGACCTGCACATGTGGTTATCATGTTTAAAAGATAATTTGAAAGCAAATGTACTGTACATCATATGTCAATTTTAAATTTTAATTACAAATTTATCAGACAGTTTTTCATTTGTCTAAAGTCACTAAGCGTATCTAGAAAATGTGAAAACTTCTTTGTGTAGTTTATTTAGACTTATTCATTGCAGTTTTCCCCAAAACCACCAAAGACTATATATGCATTATCTTGCTTTTAGTTCTCTCCTATTCATTTTTTCTATGTTCAATTCATGCTTTAATTGATATTTTTTAGACAGTCTTATTTGAGTTTGTATCTTGAAAGCTGATAAATGTCTGGTAATTATCCCTATCTGTATAATGACATCACTTCAGAGAACTTTAATAGTTAAGACACAATGTGATAATCTTCCTACTAATATAAATTTATTGCTTTTTTCATTGCTATAAAGTGAATTTTGACAATAAAAATAATTATACACATTTAAAATAATAGTCCTAGTTTGATTGCAATATACAGTGGGTGATTGGTTAATGAACAAATTGGATAACAAACACTTTCGTGAAAGATTTTTATGTTTGGACAACGAACATGTGATCAGATAACGAACATCTCACAGAACAAATGCAAGAAGAAGCGACATAAAATAATGAATACCAATTGGTCTTCCATTGTCTTCAGACAACAATTCAAAACTTTTCGATGCGCAGGAGACATCAACATCAATGCTCAACCTGGTATATACTGATCGGATAGTATTCCTCCAAACTTTGAAACTCTCCCTTGTAATTAAACTCTCCAGCCTTTTATTTTTCTGATAGAAAAAATTTTTTTATAGTATTTGCGAGACTGTTGGGTGGGCACTCATTAAGCTTTGTATCCGTTTTTATTTTCAAAAGGTGAAAGTATAACAGCAAAGGTAGAGAGTGGACAGATGTGCAATGTCTGTTGTTGCTGCGCAATATGGTTTGAGTAGGCACAGTTCAATCTTATCTAAGAAAGATACAAGACTGAAGCAGCTTAAGGAGTAACAAAAATCACATCTGAGAAATAAAGAATATTGAAGATCTCATAATGGAACCTGAAACGGATCTGACAACAGAAGAATGACAAGAACTCTTGAATGAAGACCACCAAGAAACTCAACAAGATATTTTTTCTTCTGAAAAAGAGAATGTTGATATTTGCTATTAAACATTTTTTGAAGACGTGGGATGATATCAGAACAACAGTCTTAGAATGACATCCAAACCAGGTTGAGGTTAATAGACTTAGGGATCTCTACAATGACAATGCTATTAATTACTTCTGAAAAATCTTGAAGAAGAGGGAAAAGCAATTGACATTAGACAGATTCTTTAACCCCACAAACGGAAAAAACATCACTAATAAAAATGCAAGACTGTTTATATATGTATATTTATGTATACATATAAATAAATGTAGTAAGAAAGCATATATTTTTTTATTTTTGGGGGTCTACAGAACGAATTAATCAAATTCCCATAAAAATCTGTGGCATATCGATAGTCAGTTAACAAACAATTTGGATAGCGAACAAAGTCTTGGAACGGATTATGTTCGTTAAAAGATGAAAGTAAAAGGGTTCGCACAAGAGAAGACAAAAGGAGAGAAAATGCTGAAAGTCCAGATAAGAAAGATGGCAAACCACTGTATGTGTTTTTTTTTTATGTTTAAGGTAACATTTGTATGAAGTTTAAAATATTATTAAATAACTTTTGAGATACAAAACAGTAGTAAAATAAACTTTCACACAACATTTTCTAAACAGTAATTCGATGGAAAAATCAGAATATCAGCATTCTATTGGATGGCATGATCATTATAATCATTATAGTCTTTATCATCTAAGCAAGCACATCTTTCATTGAACAAGTTTGCTGTCAAAAGACAAAGAATTTTGATATCATATTGCTTCATTTCTGTTTTATTTATCAAATAATAATAATAAATGTGAAAAAAATTAAATATAAAATAATTTTAAAGTTTTAATTTTAAGCTTAGTTGTTCGTACAGAGAGCAAATCACTGACAGAAAATGGAGTGAATAATGTATAAGCAGTGAGATAAATGTAACAAGCTAATTCATTAAATGATGTAAAATGTTAACTTACAAGAAGATGGCTGGTAAATTAGCTCAGAATAATTTAATAAGCTTTTTTCATATTTTAGACTTTACTAGGTTTATTTTATAATAAAAAAAAATACTATTTGCATTCAAAACTTACTGGTAATTAATTAATAAATAATACTTGTACAAATAAGATTTTAAAATAGTGGGATGTTAATTTTTGATTATAAACTTTGCTTTTACATGTTAATTTATCTAAAAAAATTTTTAGTATATTCTTTGGAAGATGTTTAACCTATAAAATGAAGCTAGTTAAATTATATTAAAAATTCATTAATAAAATAATAAAAAAAACACCATTACTTATTTTATATAACTTACATTATAAATATTTTTCATAAAACATAAGAAAAAACTAGCAAAGATAGAAAAATATATAAGTATAAATTAATACAATAAATTTGTTTGTGTGACTTGATTTCAGGATCAGTTTTTCAATTTATTGAACAGAAAATGATTTTTACTGAAAATGAATTTATGCATTTAGAGCAGTGTTTCTCAACCTCTAATGAATTGTCGCCCCCTTCAATAAAACCATTACCTATTATCGCTCCCTTCACTTCAAAATTCCGATGCCGAGGACCAAGACTAATGCCAAATTTGTACCGCATTGAATAGACTAGTGACTAGTATAATGTTATTTGTTTAATTATTGTATGATATAACAAATAAAATATCTAATTATTCTTAATATAATGTTTTACTATATCGCCCAGAAAATTGTTTTTCACCCCCAAAATATAAATTGTTACTAATCGCCCCTCAACATGGAAAAATCCCACATGGGGGTGATATTGCCCCCATTGAGAAACACTGATTTAGAGTATAATTCTACAGAATTATATTGTATTTATTAGACAAAAAAAATATTTTATCAGAATGATAGATTAGATTAGAAAGCCAATTCAAGATTATATAAAAAAGTCTCTTTGTATCGTTTTACTTATATCTCTTGTACTTCATAAACTTGTACTTTGTCCATTTTGCTTTAAGTAAATAAAAATATACACAGTAAAATTTATATATTCATATTACAAGTAATTTTAACTTAAATTTTTGATACAATATAATTTATTCTTTTTAATATTATTCTTAAATTTTAAATTATTTAGGTAACAAATCAAAATGCATGGAAGTCTGTTCATGTTAAAATGGGATTACCACTTGTAAATTCTTCGAGTAGCAATCAAATTAAATCTGCCTATAAAAGGTTTATATTATTTAATTATTTCTGTAGTTTGCCAATTAAACTTTTGAATTGTAATTTTAATTAAATATTTTTGTATATTTCTTTTTAGGTATTTACATAGTTTTGAAGACTTTTATAGAAAATTAGGTTGTACAATGGCAATGACAATACGTTCAAGTCGTACAAGACAGAGATCTGATCGTAATTTTATCATGACAAGAAACAGAAAACAAGACAATAAAGAAAAGGTTTGTGTGTTTTAGTATAAAGTTAAAAGAAACAAAATTTACTTGAATCTAATATTTTTATAACAAATTTTCTTTAGAATACAGAAGATAAATATAAACTAGAAGAAGATAATAACAAAGATAAAGTAGCTAAATCAAATAATACTAAAGAAGTGGACAGTGAACAGTGCAAAGTTGATGATAAAAACAAATCAAAAGATGAAAGTAACAGGGTTCGCACAAGAGAAGACAAAAGGAGAGAAAAAGCTGAAAGTCCAGATAAGAAAGATGGCAAACAAACTGCTAAAAATGAAGTCAAAGATGATGATAAAAATAAGAAGGAATCAACAAAAGATAAAAAAGAGAAAAATGCAAAGGAGAAAAAGGAAGATAAAACGTGTAAAGATAAAAAGGATGATAAAATAACAAATGAACATGATAGTAAAGGTGAAGAAGACAATAAAGGAAAAAATGATAATAATTCTACTCAAAAGAAACAGGTTAATTTCTTACATTTATTTATAGTCTAAAATATTGTCATAAAATTTTTTAACTATTTTATGTTATATATCTATGTTAAGAAATTCACTAAGGTCAACTTTTTAAAGAAATTAAATCAATGTTAATGTTTTATAAACTCTATAACTAAATAAAAGTATAAATTATATTATTTCAATTTAAAGTTTAAATAACAATTAACATCAAGAAAATCTTACACATACTGATACAAACGACCTAATTTAACTTCAGCATCGGTTTGTTATAAATATGGTTTGATTTACAGTTAAATTTATTAAAACTGAAATTCATCTTAGTGAAATGTTTTTACTGATTCCAACTTATTAATGAAGCTTTTACATAGTAGAATGAAAAAATACACATTTACAGCAATTTATAACTTTCATAATAAAAAAATTTATCAGAAAAATGATATTTTCTATCAATTTTTGTTTTTATACTTAATTTTTAATAAAATCTGCTTATTATTACAAAGTAATATAATTTCCGGATTGGAATAAAAACAATTCACTGATAAAGAAATGGTTTTGGAAGAAAAATAAGTTGAGAAAGCATAATAAAATTCAACATAGATGTTAGATTTTAATTAATATTTAAGTTGCTGTGATTATTAAAAGGAAAATAGCAAAGTTAACATTATTAATTCATTCACACAGTTATGATTCATTCCAATCATAACAACAGAATACTTTATATTATCTTAATTTCCAATAGAAAAGAATTGTTCATTTGTGTACATTGTCATGTTATATTGTGATTATAGTTCTCAAGTTGCCAAGTGCAACATTGAATTGCCATCAACTTGGTATTGTTGCAGTATAAACTAAGATTGAAATAAATAATAATAATTTATACTTATTGTAATTTTCAACTTCAATATATGATGTTACATAGTTTATTTTTGTGTTGCTTATCTAAAATTAAAACAAGAATTACAAGAATAGAAAGATGGAAACATCAAATCTATTGATATATTTGGATGTTATGCAGATTAAGAAATATTGAAATAAATCTCATAGTATTATTAAAGAAATTATTACTTTACAAAATTTCTAAAAATTTGTTATATATCTGCAAGAATAATGCACAGTATTTTGGAACAAAAAAGATACTGCTTCAGATTTTTTTCTTTTATAAAAATTGCATTATATCTTATATACAATTAATATACCACTTATCAAATTATACCACTCAAAGTTTCATATTAATTCCACTTAAAGATGAATATGTATAGTACATTTATTAGAATAATTAAGATGTTTAAAATAAAAAATTATTATTCTCATTTATATATATCTTATGTGCACATAAAGTTTTCTTTTGTTAAAATAAAAAAAATACTCTATATATGTATTATATTCTTTATGTATGACATCAGTATTAAGTGATTAAGTCAAATTGATTGGATTCTTGTTGAAAATCTTTATGGTTTTTAAAGTTTGTTTGAAAAATTTGTTACTTTATCCATTAATTTTGTCTGATTTTTAAATAAGATTTATAAAAATTAATTACAATAAATTATATAGGAAACTTTAGTTCAGAGTTTCACAAGAGGTGAGAAGACATAAGGTTTGCATATTGTAGCAAGTTGGCAGTCTCTATTTTAATTTAAATCAATAGTTTAAAATGCTTATAAAATCAAATATAAATAGCATATAAAGAATAATTTAATATTCAATTATATTAAAATTTTTCTTTTATATCTTTTAGTATAAGAAGAAAAATCAGCAGCCAAGTGAAAAATCTCTTTTGGATAACAAGAAAGACAACTCCGATGAGTAAGTTCTTCTTGTATAACTGTTCCTATTAATATACATTATCAAAAATAGGCATTTGAAAGTAAGTTTATTAACTGGGAACTGTTATAAACCATAAAATTTTCCGTAACCATTTTATTTTCAAAATTTAAGTTATAATTTCATGAAATTTATTTACTACATTAATATATATACTTAAAGAAACTTAAAAATGATTCTAATGTAGAGAGAATGATGGGAATGGAGATGAAGATGTAGAAATAGGTGATCGTGTTAAAGTGAAGTACGGACGTGGCAGAGTTCATAAAATATATGAGGCTAAAGTTTTAAAGGTAGATAGAGAGAATGGCGACAGAAAATTTTATGTTCATTATACAGGATGGAATACTAGGTAAATTGCCTGTTATTGACCTATACAAATGCCTAATTAAGATTAATATCATAATTATCTTACTTTTTAAAATTTTACTTTGTTTTATTATCTAAATTTAAAAAAAAATTTATAAAAGGTTTATATTATTTAATTATTTCTGTAGTTTGCCAATTAAACTTTTGAATTGTAATTTTAATTAAATATTTTTGTATATTTCTTTTTAGGTATTTACATAGTTTTGAAGACTTTTATAGAAAATTAGGTTGTACAATGGCAATGACAATACGTTCAAGTCGTACAAGACAGAGATCTGATCGTAATTTTATCATGACAAGAAACAGAAAACAAGACAATAAAGAAAAGGTTTGTGTGTTTTAGTATAAAGTTAAAAGAAACAAAATTTACTTGAATCTAATATTTTTATAACAAATTTTCTTTAGAATACAGAAGATAAATATAAACTAGAAGAAGATAATAACAAAGATAAAGTAGCTAAATCAAATAATACTAAAGAAGTGGACAGTGAACAGTGCAAAGTTGATGATAAAAACAAATCAAAAGATGAAAGTAACAGGGTTCGCACAAGAGAAGACAAAAGGAGAGAAAAAGCTGAAAGTCCAGATAAGAAAGATGGCAAACAAACTGCTAAAAATGAAGTCAAAGATGATGATAAAAATAAGAAGGAATCAACAAAAGATAAAAAAGAGAAAAATGCAAAGGAGAAAAAGGAAGATAAAACGTGTAAAGATAAAAAGGATGATAAAATAACAAATGAACATGATAGTAAAGGTGAAGAAGACAATAAAGGAAAAAATGATAATAATTCTACTCAAAAGAAACAGGTTAATTTCTTACATTTATTTATAGTCTAAAATATTGTCATAAAATTTTTTAACTATTTTATGTTATATATCTATGTTAAGAAATTCACTAAGGTCAACTTTTTAAAGAAATTAAATCAATGTTAATGTTTTATAAACTCTATAACTAAATAAAAGTATAAATTATATTATTTCAATTTAAAGTTTAAATAACAATTAACATCAAGAAAATCTTACACATACTGATACAAACGACCTAATTTAACTTCAGCATCGGTTTGTTATAAATATGGTTTGATTTACAGTTAAATTTATTAAAACTGAAATTCATCTTAGTGAAATGTTTTTACTGATTCCAACTTATTAATGAAGCTTTTACATAGTAGAATGAAAAAATACACATTTACAGCAATTTATAACTTTCATAATAAAAAAATTTATCAGAAAAATGATATTTTCTATCAATTTTTGTTTTTATACTTAATTTTTAATAAAATCTGCTTATTATTACAAAGTAATATAATTTCCGGATTGGAATAAAAACAATTCACTGATAAAGAAATGGTTTTGGAAGAAAAATAAGTTGAGAAAGCATAATAAAATTCAACATAGATGTTAGATTTTAATTAATATTTAAGTTGCTGTGATTATTAAAAGGAAAATAGCAAAGTTAACATTATTAATTCATTCACACAGTTATGATTCATTCCAATCATAACAACAGAATACTTTATATTATCTTAATTTCCAATAGAAAAGAATTGTTCATTTGTGTACATTGTCATGTTATATTGTGATTATAGTTCTCAAGTTGCCAAGTGCAACATTGAATTGCCATCAACTTGGTATTGTTGCAGTATAAACTAAGATTGAAATAAATAATAATAATTTATACTTATTGTAATTTTCAACTTCAATATATGATGTTACATAGTTTATTTTTGTGTTGCTTATCTAAAATTAAAACAAGAATTACAAGAATAGAAAGATGGAAACATCAAATCTATTGATATATTTGGATGTTATGCAGATTAAGAAATATTGAAATAAATCTCATAGTATTATTAAAGAAATTATTACTTTACAAAATTTCTAAAAATTTGTTATATATCTGCAAGAATAATGCACAGTATTTTGGAACAAAAAAGATACTGCTTCAGATTTTTTTCTTTTATAAAAATTGCATTATATCTTATATACAATTAATATACCACTTATCAAATTATACCACTCAAAGTTTCATATTAATTCCACTTAAAGATGAATATGTATAGTACATTTATTAGAATAATTAAGATGTTTAAAATAAAAAATTATTATTCTCATTTATATATATCTTATGTGCACATAAAGTTTTCTTTTGTTAAAATAAAAAAAATACTCTATATATGTATTATATTCTTTATGTATGACATCAGTATTAAGTGATTAAGTCAAATTGATTGGATTCTTGTTGAAAATCTTTATGGTTTTTAAAGTTTGTTTGAAAAATTTGTTACTTTATCCATTAATTTTGTCTGATTTTTAAATAAGATTTATAAAAATTAATTACAATAAATTATATAGGAAACTTTAGTTCAGAGTTTCACAAGAGGTGAGAAGACATAAGGTTTGCATATTGTAGCAAGTTGGCAGTCTCTATTTTAATTTAAATCAATAGTTTAAAATGCTTATAAAATCAAATATAAATAGCATATAAAGAATAATTTAATATTCAATTATATTAAAATTTTTCTTTTATATCTTTTAGTATAAGAAGAAAAATCAGCAGCCAAGTGAAAAATCTCTTTTGGATAACAAGAAAGACAACTCCGATGAGTAAGTTCTTCTTGTATAACTGTTCCTATTAATATACATTATCAAAAATAGGCATTTGAAAGTAAGTTTATTAACTGGGAACTGTTATAAACCATAAAATTTTCCGTAACCATTTTATTTTCAAAATTTAAGTTATAATTTCATGAAATTTATTTACTACATTAATATATATACTTAAAGAAACTTAAAAATGATTCTAATGTAGAGAGAATGATGGGAATGGAGATGAAGATGTAGAAATAGGTGATCGTGTTAAAGTGAAGTACGGACGTGGCAGAGTTCATAAAATATATGAGGCTAAAGTTTTAAAGGTAGATAGAGAGAATGGCGACAGAAAATTTTATGTTCATTATACAGGATGGAATACTAGGTAAATTGCCTGTTATTGACCTATACAAATGCCTAATTAAGATTAATATCATAATTATCTTACTTTTTAAAATTTTACTTTGTTTTATTATCTAAATTTAAAAAAAAATTTAAAAAACAGTTTTATCAGCTTTTACTTGCTGATTTAATTTTTCTTAATTAGGACTGTATAAACAATCTTTCTTTGATTAGATTAAAAATTAATTTTGGTTAAAATTTAATTATAATTAAATAAAAAAGATATATAACTTCAAATTAAATAATTATTAAAGTTGGGTTAATATTTTGTTACATTATAAAGTTAAAACTTGTATTAAAATGAAGTATAAATGTAGAGTTCAAAAAATAAATAAGAATAAATTATTAATATATGACATTCATAAAACTTCATATTTTATAATTATTATATATTTCTGTTTTGGTATTTCAGGTATGATGAATGGGTTAAAAAGAAGCGCATTATGGAAAATGTTAGTGAGAAGAATATAAATGGAAAGAAGAAAAAGTTAGCTAATTCATTGAAAGTAAGCAGAACAATTTTAAATATAGTTTATTACAATATAACAATTTTTCTAACTTAAATAAAAAAAATTAATAAATACATTTATATATTTTTTAAAATCAAATACTATCAATTATCAAACTTGATATTTACAGGGAATGTCAAAAACGCCAGGAAGAAGGGGACGTCCTCCTAATTCCGTTAGACTAGCTAACTTAACAGACAGTTCGACTTTACTACGAAAAAATTCTACAAATAGTATGGCATCTTCGACATCTAACTCTCGCACAATGAGATCAGATAGGAATAGTTTATCAGAATCACCATTTGTCAATGGTTTAGAACCTAGGCGAAGAGCCAGAAGAAAGTCTGGAGTATCCATCAATGTCGAAGCTTCGCCGGATCTCGACAGTGATGACCATGATAATTCTGAGTTTGAAAATTTGAAAATTGCTACAGAAGAGAAAGTAAAACAACATACTGAGGAAGAATCAAAAGAAAATGAAAATAAACAAAATGAAATTGATATACAGATACCAAATATTACAAATAGCATGTCAGAAAATGAAAATTCTACAGTAGAAAATTTAGAAGTAAAAGTATCCGATTCTTCTGATATGGATCAAGAAGTAAAAGTTATATCTGATGACAAATGTCAAATATTGGAACCATGCAAGCCACCAGAATTACCAGATGATGAAATTACATCCAACAAAAATGAATTGGAAGAAAGTGAAGATGTTTTAATGAAATCTGAGTTGACAGACAATATTGTTAAGGAAGAACCTGTAAATACTGAAAACGATAAAACAGTCTGTGAGAAAAATATTTTAAATAGTGATAAAGAAATTTCAGAGACTAAAATAGAAGAAAAGGAAAATGCTGTGCCATTAAATGAAGATATTTGTGAAAGTCAAATAAATTTAGAAAAAGAGGATAATAAATATGAAGAAAACCAAGAACAAATTAATGTTGAAGATAAACAAGACATTCCAATACCAGAAATAGTTCCAGAAATGCCAGAGATTATTAAAGAAAATATTGATTATAAACCAATTAATTTAGATATTAAAGATGAAAAATGTATTGAGGGAGAAGAAGAATTGCCAAAGATGCTTAAAAAACGAGAACTTGTTGAAAATGATGACATGGAAGTTTTAATAAAATGTCCAAAACTAGAATGCGAAGCACCACAAAAATTAAAAGTTGCAGAAGTAACAACTGATGTTTTTCCTATGAAAAGTGAACTGAATGTAAATGAAAGCAATTACTCAAAAGATTCATTGCCTGACATCTCCGCTGAATATAAAGAAGAGAAAACAATTTCTTTAGATCCTATTCCCGATGATCTTCCACATCTTGAAACGATGAAATGTAACGAGGAAGAAATAGAAGTATACTCGGAATCTAAAACTGAAAACGAACCTCCGGAAACAAAAAATAATCAAATGTTAACTGATGAATCATTGCATGAAGAACAGTTGCCTGTAAAATCAGAATCATTTTCTATGTTAACAAAAATGTGGGAAATAGAAACATCAAAAATTGAAAGTTCGGAAGTAAAAGAAGAAATTCCTAATTTAGAAAATGTAACAGAAATACAAAAACCCAGTGAAATATTAACACCAAAAAAAGATGTAAAGAAGAAAAAATCAAAAGGATTGAAATTGGAAAAGAAGTCTTTGCCAAACGATAGTCAAAGCAAAGATGATGGAAAACTTAAAGAAGGGAAGAATAAGTCAAAAAAGAAATATAAAGTTGAGGGTGAAGATAGTGAAAAGTCAAAAATTCTTGAAGGAAAATTAAAGCAGAAAAAATTTAAAAAGAACAAAACGAAAAAGAAATTAGAAAAAACAGATACAAACTGTGAAAGTGATATTAAACCAGTGGAGATCAAAGAAGAGGTAAATGAAAAAGCAAAAAAGGAGAAGAAGAAAAAAGACGATAAAAAATCAAAAATAGAATCAAAACCTGACACTGATGGCAAAAATATCGATAATCTTAAAAAAGAGAAGAAGAAAGGTAAAAAGAATAAAGAAAAGGTATGTGCTGAGAAGAAAAATGAAAATAATTTGGAAAAAAAATGTAAAAAAAAGAAAAAATTACATAATGAATTAGAAATAATTGAAACCGATTCCGAAAAAGAAGCAGGTCTAAAAATAGACCCTGATAAAATTAAATTGAAAAAAGGAAAGAAAAAGAAAAAATCAAAAGATAATTTATTAGATGATTTAAGTGATTTAAAATTTCCAAAAGATATTCATAAAAAACAGGAGAAGAAACTCAAAGTGGAAGTTCCGGAAAATAATACTCTAGCCCAAGAATTGGTTCCGATGCCAAAATTTGATAATGAAACAGAACAAGATATTGCATTTTTATTATGTGAAGAGAAGGTACCAGCCAGTCCAGTTGGAAATGAAGAAGTGCCATTACCTACTTCATCCCATATCTCTCAAATTGAAGATCTTGTTGCAAACAGTACACCTGCGGCACTAGCAGCATCAGAAGTTTTAGCAACTATATCCGAGTCGGTCAGTAATGGTGCCCTAACTTATCCCAAAGGAATTAATCATATGTTAGTAACTGAAGCAGCTAACAGACACGAGTCAGAAGTGGCAGCTGTTTTAGATAACACCCCACCTAATACTCCTGACAGCACAGAATTAGCATTGTATAGTTCTCCCATTCAAGAAAACTATTCCTTACATGATGGGGAAAGTACTCGTTCCGGCAGAGATTCTGCAGACGGAGATTCAGACAGTTTGCATATTGATACTGCAAAATTAGACGTTGCCGAGAGTGAAGACTCTTTAGTGTTTCCTTCCTTGTCAAATTCATCTTTGCATACAGAAAAAAATAACCAAGTAAACATCAAATCTGGAAGCACAAATAAACGACATCGAAACGAATTAGATGAGATATCACCTAGTAAACGTAAGAAAAAAAGTAATAAGAGGTTATCATCAAGCGACATGAAATCAAATGTGAATAGAAAAATGCCTTTTAGCAAGTGTTTAAAAGGTAAGTTAATCATACTAATGCATTGTGATCTCTAGAATTAATGAGATGGCATTATTGTTAAAAAAATAAAATTTTTTACAGGTGATATGCAAATTAATGAAAATAACACTTCAGATTATAGAAATAGCATCTTTTCATCTCATACGGTTTCTTCATCCGGTACTTCAAATGAAGCATCTCTTTCTCGTCCATCAAAATTTAATTTTGATGTCCATCTAGGTGAGTTTCCATCATAATAAGAATTGGTACAAAGACATTTGTGTGAACCAAAACAATTCTATATTAAATTTTTATACATACTCAAAAAGTGACACTTTTCTGTTTGGATCTTAGAACAAATAATTGACTTAAAATTTATATGGTATAATTTTTCCAAGTTGAAGTGTATGGGAAAAATCAAAGCATAATTTTCTCCTGTTTAATATTATTAAGCCTGAAATCTTCAATAGATGTAGACATAGAAAGATAAATTTCTCATTATATATTTTTGTTTTGGTTTGTACTAATATTGTTTTGACCATTCTAACTTGATATAATTATGTCAAAACAAATTTTTAACATTCATTCTTTAACAGATGAATCAATGGATTCTGATAAAAGAATAGCTATTTTGCAAGAAAAGCTATTACAAATAAAAAAAGTGTATCTAACATTGAAAGCAGAAGTTGCACTTATTGATAGAAGGCGAAAGAAAGCTAAAAGAAAAGAAAAGGAAGCAGGTATTTTCATAATTAATTAATTAATTGTAGTTTTTAAAATATATATCTCATATCATTAACTTGTTATTTTTTCAATAGCAGCACAATCTTCAAATTCTGTTTCACAACTGATGGAAGTCCAGTGCTCTTCATAACATAGGGATTACTGGATGCAGCTTTGACTAATGATCATCACTCGAATTGTATATATCATTATGTATTTAAAACAGGGATTCAAATGTGTACAGAGCAATACTGGTTTACTTGCTGCTAGCTATATTAAAAATATGTAAAGCTGCTTGGCAGAGTAGTGTATTTTATATACTTTTATATCCAATATTTGTGTCATCCCATTTGTTGTAAAAAATTCCATATTTGGGATTTTATTTATTTATAAAGACAAAAGCTTATATATATATATACATACATTTAGATATACTGTATCTATGTATATATATATATACTTGCACAGTATTATATCATTACAGTTGCACAGTTAAAAAAAATCATTTATGCTTATATGTTTTGTGTAAAAATTGTGATTGAATTGCTAAGTCATCATGAAGAAGAAACATTGTACTCGACAAACTTTGGTGTGCGTGTAAAAAGAGAATTATATTTTCATTCCTTCCATCGTCCAGATTTTGCCGAGAAAATGAAATTTATTTTACAAAACGTATTTATCATTGTGATCAGTTGTTTTCAAAATTTGTTTATTTACTATCTGTTGTTTGAATCTCTTTTGTCTTAAAATTCATTCAAGATAAAAAATTTATATATATATTTGCATATATTTTTTTTCTTGTTTTGAAAAGTGATATTAATTAAATAAATTAAGTACCACATTGTATCATCGTAGACTTACAGAAATTTAAAGCTGTCATGATTTACACTTCTTGACCAAGAGGATAAAATTAAATTTTAGCAAAGATTTTAAAACACAGCAGAGCTTCCTATTTAATATGAATTTTGGTATGACATTTGTATAATAGTAATAATAAATTATAAGGAAAAAAAAGGAGAAAAATTGTATTTAACAGAACACAAAACAGTACTAATAGTCAGAATTTGCTAGTCTACTTATATTATGTATCTAAATTGCTGTTGGAAGTTAATGAGAAGAGTGCCTTGTAAGTTTACTTATCTGATGTACCATACGCAGTTTTCTGAGGAATTTAAATACTAACGGATGACGACCACGCTTCCAGAGACCCATTTCTCCTAACCGACAGAATCTCAACTTCCATAATAGCAAAACCAATCATTTACTTCCCCCATTTAAAGTAGTATGTATGTTTTTATTGTTTTATAAAATGTGATATGTTGATTTATAATCGTGAAGCATTTGTTACATATAAATTATCTTGCTATTGTTAAATTAACGGAATAGATGACGGTTTCCTTCCGGAATGCATTTGCCATCGGGAAGAGAAATCTCTTGCCATATTATGTTTATCTAAAAATGTTTATTTTATTGTGTGAAGTAATTCTGTCAGATTTTTTACTTAAAGGCATTTTTTCATTTATCATCATTACAAGTTGTTATAGCTTGTATGAATTCTTGTACTTGGATGTAATTAAGTTAGAGATGTCTATAANTTGCGTATTGGTTCGATTATAGAACGATTGTAAACGTTTCAGAAAATTGATCAAATTGAAAATAGTTCGTTTGATTTTCGGCAATTCTCTTCAGCGGTAGGTGTTATATAACAATTACTATGGTTATTGAAATATTGGATGTAAATGGGGTTTGCTTGCAAAACCTCCGCTGACGAAGTCGCGGGTAACAGCTAGTAATATAATATTTTTTAATTTAACTTTCACAATCATACAAATGAATAAATCTTAGAACATTTTAGTTCTAGATTGAAGTTTTTGTGCAATTTGCTTTTTTTGTTTTTGCTGAAGTCTAAGTTTAATCATTTTTTTCTTTTTCTTCATTTTCTGTTTTTCCAATGCGGCCATACCCTGAAATTTCCAATTTCTTTCGCTCTTCTGAACAAAAGTTTTATTCCTGAAACAAAAAAATTACAAATTATAAATTAAACCTTTCAAACACAAATCGTCATATTTTTATTATTTTTCATACTGCTTTAATGTATTTCAATATAATGATTATAATTATGTAGTTTTTGTTTGAACTTATTAAAATTTAAGTTGAATTTATAAAACTGAAATAATCATTGAAAAGCCTCGCATAAAACTTACACAGGTGAATTCAGTAAAAGCGTGAGTATTCCATTATAAAATAATCTTTAAAATTTGTTAAACAATTTACCTTTGAAATTTCTTGTTTTCATTCTTACTAGCTCTTGATATTCTCAGAGGTCGTCCCTTTAACTCGTTTCCATCCATTTTTATTGCTCGATTGGACGAATCTCTAGACTGACGAGAGAAATCTTGTCAGCACAAATATTTTGTAATTAATACATTTTCATATGAAATCTGATCAAATATTTAATTTTTCTTCTTAAGGGGCTTGCATCTTTGTGATGATAAGTATATTTTTCCTATTCTAATATTTTTATAATTTAAGTGATGAATGAAATTATATCTACTTTATACAGATTGTCTCAAATTTTTAAAAAATAAACATTAGAAAAGTTCCCAAGATAAAAATTGAAAAATGTAAGTAATCAGTTCATTTTTACTAATAATTGAATTATCATCCCTAAAATATATCAAAGAGATCTGATGATTTATTGTGAGCAATTGTCACCATCACAATGAATTGAATAACTTAACTAATTAACTCTGAAATAGGAAACTATTGAATTTCCAAACTCAAATTCTTCTCTTAAATGAAAATGTTCAATTAATCAAAACTTATGTAGAATAAATGTTTTAAAATTATTTAAATGAATCAACATTATTTATATATTGCTGTAGATGATTGTAGAATTTTGTTGGATGGCGGTAACTTTCAGGATGGATGGGCCATGCAGTGTGTGAAAATGATTACAAGGATCTATGTGAGTTAAATCCCCTGAACTTTCTCACAATGGGTGTAAAAATTCAACTGCAAAGATATACATAACTTCATTGAGTGACTGATTACTGGCAGTTCCAGTAGTTTGAGATTACCGTAAGAGTACTATTAAGAAATGTTTACACAATTCTTCTTTCTAGCCACACAAGCAAATGCATGCTGCAGAATTTGATAATGTTTTCTTGGTTGCACAGATTGTGTGTGATGTCTAAATATAAACCGATCATGTTAGAGCAATCGCATCACAGTTGATTGTAAATTGTTTTGATCTCATTTCATGTATTATAGTAGAAAAAAACTTTTTTATTGTGGTTTTTGTCAAAGGCAAGCTTAATGCAATTTCTAAAAGAAAATGCACTTTGATTCTTATTACAATGGATGAAATAATAGAAGAATTCCATTCAAATAAGCATTCATATTGGATACAATCATGAAGAAAAATGAAAAGAGCTGTCATAATTAAATTAATGAATGATTTACAACTTTCTGATAACAGGTTATATTCGCACAGATACAGATACATTTCTATGTTGCTATATTGGACACTTTATGGATGGTGCCTACAACCAGCATGATGAAAACAATTAGTTTCTCTTTTTTTTAATAAAATACAGTACAAAAATATAGAAGATACAAAATGTCTTTGGATATCCATCTTCACAATCACCAGCAACACACAAAATGTCTTTGCAGATGAAGATTGTATGTTGCTGATGATTGTGAAGATGGATATCCAAAGACATTTTGTATCTTCTATATTTTTGTATTTTATTAAAAATGTAAATACTATTAGCCAACTTGAAACAACTAGTTAGTTGTCAGTGCAGTTACACTTGTGTACTACAGTTCCAAGTTTACTAAATAACTGGAACAGTGAGCTAGCTGCACTGGAAGCTGCATTATTTGCCTGAGATATGAAATATATTTTTGTTTCTAATAAAATTGTAGACAAAACTGTCCAAAAAGGATCACCATTTATTATTTTTTTATGTTCCAAGACTAACACATTTTTAGTGACTGACCTTTCTTTTTAGGCTACTTGTCGCCAGAAAAATTACAAAAAGTCCTGTTAAAAAACACAAAACACTTCCAATTAAAATTTTAAAAAAATTTCTGAAAAAGGAACTGGTGACATACAGTTGTCTTGCTTACTTCCATCTATACCTTCTTTTGGGGGTTTCCTCTGCTTTTTATCTACTAAAAATTGGCGCTGAAATATGTAGATTTTTAGAAAAGCTGCCCCCTGGTGATGATACATGTAGAAATTTCTACATGTATCGTCACCATTGATGGAGAATTATTTCTAATTTTATTAGAAATAATTCTCCATCGGACGAACTTTTACAGAAGAAATTTCTACATGTATATTTCTACCAGGGGGGCAACTTCTCTAAAAAATCTACATTTTCCAGCACAAATCTTTAGTAGATAAAAAGAAGAAGAAACCCCAAAAGAAGGTATGATGGAAGTAAGCAAGACAACTGTATGTCACCAGTTCCTTTTTCAGAAATTTTTAAAACTTTTAATTGGAAGTGTTTTGTGTTTTTTAACAGGACTTTTTGTAATTTTTCCGGCGACAAGTAGCCTAAAAAGAAAGGTCAATCGCCGAAAATGTGTTAGTCTTGGAACATAAAAAATAATAAATGGTGATCCTTTTTAAGAGAGTTTTGTCTACAATTTTATTAGAAATAATTCTCCATCGGACAAACTTTTACAGAATATATTTTTGTTATTAAAGTTAACTTTAATAACACATGTAGCTTGACAAGTCCTCTACTTCTTTTTACCATCTTGTAAAGATTGATTTAAAAGAAATCTGTAAGAGAAGAACAAATATTCCCCTGCAGGTGAGAAAAAGAGCAATGGTGTGAACATATCCTTTTTGAAAGGCATGTTCGGTCCTTAAAGCTAAGAACATATATGTAGCTTTCAGACTTTTAAGCATTGGAAAATTGTGGGAATTGGGTTATCCTTCTGAGAAATCAGCACTCATGTTGGGTGAAATGTGAGCATAGTATTGAGAGTATTGTATTGGTTGACCAGACCAACTATTTTGAGGGTCTGGACTCCCCAATACCACAAATGAATGGGAGGACAGTCATATGTGCACAGGTGGATCTACATAGGGACTAATAGGGCTTAAGCCCTGGGTCCCCAAATGTCAAAGGCTCACAGAAATTGATTATCATAAATTTTTAATATCTTTTTATTAACAATGAACATTTATCATATAGTAAAAAATAGTTAATAATAATGATAATTTATAGCATTATTTGTTTTATTGTAATCAATGTAATGTAATTGGTCAGGTCACAAAGTTGCAATTTTAAGCCCCAATGTAAAGACTCTTAATCTAACAAAAAATGGGCCCCACTGAACTTCAATAAGCCCTAGGCCCCGAAAAACCTAGATCCATAGTAATGATGAGCTAAACAGCCACATCATGGACCCTAATCCAACAGTGGAGGTCTATCACTCATCAACCATTCATACACACTATTCTACACCATTTGAGGCAGTGAGGCATCACTCACTGCCTATTACTTCAGTTACCATTGTCTACATCTGCAATGGTGCCAATGGTGAAAAGACTGACAATGCATTGTATTTTTGGAAAGTTCCAGTTCAATCTACACTATCGTGACAAACAGAACAATGTTTAGAGACACTGCAGTGAAAGATTCCCAGAGGCATGCATTTTGTATCACCATATGGGCTTAGCACCAAGTATTATGGTGTGGGATGCCATTAGGTTCCACTCTTGTTTCCACCTCATATGCATTGCTGATACCCTGACCAGCTAGCAATACATCACAGAGGTGTTGAAGATGAGGTGGTACCCTATCTGCCGATATACCATATTCTTTATAATGTTATAAGATAGAATATGGAATACATAACTTAGGTTAGGTTTTAGTTTTTTAGAATGATAAATTATTGCAAATTATGAAATTATCATCATCATCCATTCCTGCTGATACTCAGAGGATGTACAGGTCAGCATGGTGAAAAATCAAACTTTTATATTACCATCCACTACTTTTCTCCAAACTCTCCTATCAACAGACAAGTTTTTAGCCTGGAGTAAAGTTAAATTCTTTTCTTCTAAGGCCTGCTTAACACTATCAATCTGCCTTGGTCTAGGACAGTGTTTTTCAACCTCTAATGAATCGTCACCCCTTCAACATAATATTGCCCCCTTCAATAAAACTGTTACGTAATATCGCCCCCTTCACTTCAAAATTCCGATGCCCAGGGCCAAGGCTAACACTAAATTCATACTGCATTGAATAGACTAGTGACTAGTATAATGTTATTTGTTTAATTATTGTATGATATAACAAATAAAATATCTAATTATTCTTAATATAATGTTTTACTATATCGCCCAGAAAATTGTTTTCTGGGCAATATTTGTTTTCGTTCCCCAAAATATAAATTGTTTCAAATCGCCCCCTCAACATGGAAAAACGCCCACATGGGGCAATATTGCCCCCATTGAGAAACACTGGTCTAGGACATCCCTATGGTTTTACTTCAAATACCTGTTTGGCTAGTGGCTCTTCTCCCATTCTTTCTAAATGGCCAAACCACCTCAGATTAGCCTCATTTACTCTCAACTGAAATTATTTATTGTATTAAACTAATAGAGGCCATATTGGGAATTTGAAAAATAAATAAATTATGAAAATTGATAAATAATAATAGCATGAAGTAGACATGCTGATTATTATTTATAGTTTTTCCCTGTTCATAGCAAAAGTATATATTCTATATACTACTAATATTTAATTGTTCATCCACTGTAGGAAATTACATAAAAAGATATGAATTGTCTGAAGAATAGTGAAGAATAAATTAAGCAACAAAAACGTTTTCTAGGTATATCTGGAATTGTCTTTCTGGAGAAAAATTGATAAGTAATTTTTACCTTGAATAAGACATAACCAAACCCTTTGCCTATACGAGTAGATTTGTCTCTTATGACTCGAACATTTATAATTTCTCCACAGGTTTCAAAGAATTTCCATAGCTCTTCATCTGTGATATCTGAAATGTAAATTCTATATTAGAAATGTCTTAAAATAACATTATTCAAAAATTATTATTATTGTATAAAAATTAAAATTTAAAAACACTGTACATATAATGAATATTTTCTATAAATTCATTCAGGGGCACCTTGTATAGTGTACATTGGGGCATGTGCCTGCCCTTTGTTGTTGCATTGCCCTTTTCTTATTCTTCAAGGGAGCTCTAAGGTTTCATTTTATTTACTCAATGAAACCTTACTCATTTTTATCAAAGAAAATCTTTTACTGATGACAAAATAAAAATATTTGCTATTAACCGAAAATTTGTTCTAGAGGTACTGAGATACCACAGTATTCAATATAATTTTGATATACACAGCAGAATCAAGGGATTAATTAAATGTGTTAATAAAGGGATAACTGTATATATATATATAATATACATACGATGCCCTTTTTTATAGCTTGTGTCCCCCTTTTAGTCTGTGGGTGCTGCTGATATTGTATTGAAATCTCTCACCCATATGATTTTTGTAATGATTTTTCTAATTTTTCCATTTTAATTTATTGCATAACATTAGACCTTGCAACTATAAGACATCAGCATTCAGATGAAATTTAAATCCAACTCAAAATGCCATTAGATATAATGGATTGATCAGAGAGGCACAAGATAAGGAATCTTCATACTGCCATAAGCAATTTAAATATTTCATATCTAATCATAACATTGATAAAAAATTATATCATTTCTATTCTTTAACATGTTGGCTGATTTCACTGTAATTCTAGCTCATTCATTATATCATGTAGATTATCTGTAAGAAAAACAGGCATAGCCAACTCTATGTCTATTTTCCTCAGGAATAATCAAATCCATCATTTCCACAATCTTAATGAAGTTCCTGTATTGTTGATATTGTGTAATTTGGATAATCATTTTGTTGCAAAAATATTTTCAGAAGAAAATATGTAAATAGAATAATATGACTTCCAGTTCATATCAGAAATTTGTATATAGTCAATTGGGCCTCTATCCCCTAAGTTTTCCATATCTGGTATTGTCTTTCATCTATCTAACTCTGTTCTCAGAATTAAGGAAAGACGGACGAACAGACAACAGTGGGAATTTATAGGTCTACAATTTTTTCAAATTGCAGCCCAAACAAATTAACTTTCTAGCTTAAACACTATGGAATAGTAATAAAAATATTAAGAGTTATGAGATCCTTCAAACTACAGAAGTCTATTGTCAAAGCAGTAAAATCCTCCAAAAATTACAAAAAATCTTTAAAAAAGATTCCTCAAAGCAATACATACAAATGTGTCTTTATTCCAATCCAGTCCTTTCAAACACACATTTGAGGAATTAACAATTTCACAGCAGAGTCAACCTTTCTTTTATAGGCTGCTCATCAATTAGAGGTGTACTCTGCCGTGAAATTGTTAATTCCTCAAATGTGCGTTTGAAAGGACTGGATTGGAATAAAGACACATTTGTATGTATTGTCTATGAGGAATCTTTTTTAAAGATATTTTTTTATCCTCCAGAAATATTTACTTTGTCTACTTATTTGTATTCCTTGTATATAACATATATATATTTATATGTAAAAAAGCAGGAAAATCAGGAGATATACTGATTTTCCTGCTTTTTTCCCCCGTCCAAGAAGAGACACAAAGCCTATGTTTTTCCTTAAATACTGTTTTACTATAAATATATGCAAATTTTTGCTAATATTTAACTACTTTCTGTCCAACATTTTCATCAATTTAATCTTGATTAGTTAAAATTTAATTTTTTTTCCTCAATTTTTTGAAATATTCTGTATAAAATAAAATCAGGTAAAGTTTTTAACCATTTCTTATAATTTAAAAGCAGTTATTTTGACATTCAGAACTTAATCAATTCTGAGATGTATTTGTCCTCCTTTTAAGAACAGTTTTATGTAAAAAAAAATTAAAGTTTCTTCTACACAAAAATTAAAATAATAGCAAGAAAGCTGTAGAATCAAAGACAAATTTAAGAAAATGTAAAAATTATATAAATGAATTTACTGTAACTTCATTTAGAAAATGACAGAAAAGATTAAGAAACTAAATACATTAAACAATAGATAGAATGAGATAAGCTGGATACATGTCAAAAACTTAAAAATGTTTACTGATTTTTATATTAATAATCTTGTTATTTAGATATTCTTTATAGAAGTTTGTCTTATCCCTGCTTAGTCCAAACTATATTTATTATAAAACCTCCCATCAGTCTAAACTTAAGATAATTGGATGAGTTTGCAAAAAGGATAAATATTACATGTGTATTTTTACTTTTCCGACTCTGTTATGTATGAGGGAAAGTATAGCGATCAGTCAAAAAATATTCCCTGTGATTTTTACGTGGAGAAATGCGTTTTTCTGTATGTATGGATTTTAGTGTGGGGAGCGCACAATTTTGTTCACCCTGTTTGAAGTTTAGTAACTCCTGTGCTTTTTGTAAACAATTTCAGAAATTTTGCAGGGAGGTTTGTCTATTAGGGGGATTGATGCTATTTAATTTTGATGGTTAAAGGTTAAGGTGGGAGATAAAGGGGGTCGTGTCATATCTCCAGTAGAGTTGGAGTTAATGAAGATTTTACTCGTTATTAGCATTTACAACTTTTTATAAAACCCATCCCTATCCTCAAAATTAAGCTTTTAGCCATTTTATAATAAGTAAAAAATATATTTTATTATTAAAAACTTTCAATAACAGATGGTGCCACACATGCAGTTTTNATAAAACCCATCCCTATCCTCAAAATTAAGCTTTTAGCCATTTTATAATAAGTAAAAAATATATTTTATTATTAAAAACTTTCAATAACAGATGGTGCCACACATGCAGTTTTAAATGTTGCCAGGAAAATTAAGCAACTCACTGCTGGATTTTTTAAATCTTTTAAGAAGAAATACAGCCATAAACCTGATTGACCATTATTGACTGACTATAAACAAAAAGATTCATTTTATGTATTTTTTTAGATAAAACTTCCTGTCCCAGTTCTTAAAAGATCTACTTTTGGATTCTCATCTTGTGACAAATGGAGGTTAAATGAGTTTTTAGTTAACATCCGTTTTAACAACAAATATAATTTTCAGACATTGATCTTGTTATAGTCTCGAATCCCATCTTTCAAAACTGTAATGATAGCATTATTTATAAAATTTATTATTTCTTACTTATATTCAAAAAGAAATAACTGATAAATGGAGAGAAAATGGATATAAAGTAGAAGAACCCCAATTATCCAAGATTCTGCACTATCTAAGGCAAATCCATAAGTGAATACACTATTTTCCTTACACTGTAATTCATAAAAGAAAGTTTAAAATGATGCCATGTATTAGAAAATCCAAGCAGCCCAGGTCTAATTAACTTGGAAAATTGGGGGTTCTACTGTATTTACAATTTACAGATAAAAAAACATAAATATTATATATAGTATAATAAAATGACTAACAATGTATGTTATTTTCTAACAAACATTGTTAGTCATTAAATTCATTTATATTAAGATAACATTTTTAGCCTTTTCGGCTAAAAATATTATCTCGATATATACTTAATAAATTCATTATTTAATTTACTAAATAAAATTTGCATCATTCTGAAAACAAAAGATACTAAGTAATGTATTTCCAATACAAATTCAATAATGCATATTCTGTTTAGTGTCTGATATAATTTAAATACATAAAGTCATGCAATAAAAGTCAATAAAAGCATTCAAATGGTAGGATATTAACACAAATGAGAATTTTATTATGGCAGCCATTTTTTTTCATGGATAATGAAATTAATTAATTCTATTTCAGATTATTTCAATTTACGTGAATATCTCAGTGGATGTTTACTTAGAAAAAATATTTCTTAAATCAGATGATTTAACCATCAATCTGTGGGTAAGTCTATTAAACTTTTATATACAAAAAGAAATTTATGTTCACTGTAGCTTAGAATACTCTTGTAGTGGGTTGAAATTTTCAATTTAAATATTATTTTAAGAAGTTATATGCATTGTTACATGAAATAAGTCATGATACTAACATATAAGGTTAATATCTCAAGAATGTAAATCCAGTTTTGCATGAATACTATAATTTTTCAATTTTAGCAAAAATTCTCTACTTTTTATTTATCTTTTTACTTGTCTGATATTCTCAGAAATTTGTTTATCTATTGATTTTCATTTTATTAAATTAATCAAATTTTATAACGACTTTTTTTATTGCTGAATATGAATTATTGAAATTTAATTATCTGAAGTGGTATTAGCACTCCAATGATATTGATACACACATACAAAACTTAAGGACGAATATCATTGCTAGTGGTGAGAGCTACAAGAAGTCTTGGTGACGAGCACTGTGTGAGCCGCCGGGGAGGTTGGGACTTCTTCTCCTTCCCGGTGACCTACTTTCTTGTCAAGGATGGCGTTTCGTTCAGTTACGCGTTACGCGAGTGTAGGAGAGTCGGAGGGGTCGACGATAAGACGTTGGCTAAGTCGAGTAATGACACCATTTAAAACAAAAACAACGGTTTATTAACCTAACTAACTAAATAAAAATTTTACAAAACTTCATAGACTTCGCGGATGACAGAGAGAGAGTTTACAATAATAATCGTTCATACCTCTTTGCACATACTAATGGGATATTTTCCCGTAATGTCGTCCTTTATGGATTCTGAGCGGTGACACAAGTATAGGTCGGCGACGGAAGTGTAGGTCTGCGATGGAGAAGGGGATGTCTGACTTCGACGTTCGGCGATTCCCCTGAGGAGGGGAATGTGTCGGGCTTTTATACCTTTTTCGGTGGGAAAAATTAGTCAGGTGTGAGGTTAAAGGTGGCGATAGAATGGCAACAATATGACGAATTTCGGCCGTAATTGTAAACAATACATGGTTTGATCGTGAGAATGTTTATACTTAAATAGAAAGATTTATAATTTTCTCATGCACCTCAAATTTCGTTTCTGCAGGTGCAACTTCCTCTAGTTTTAAAGGAATTTTTATTTAAATTTATTAAAATTTTAAANAAAGTTGGTGTTCGAATGAAACAATATGACGAATTTCGTCGATAATTGTAAACTATTCACGAATTGATCGTGAGAATGTTTATAGTTAAATAGAAAGAGTTATAATTTTCTCATGCACCTCAAATTTCGTTTCTGCAGGTGCAACTTCCTCTAGTTTTAAAGGAATTTTTATTTAAATTTATTAAAATTTTAAAGGGTTACTTTCTTCTATGAAATTATATGCACTTCGAATTTCACAACTGTATGACAGTTCAATTCCATACTAATAGATGTCTCTACCTGGGTAATGGTAAACACTTTCCATCCATTCTTAAGTCCAACTGCTGTATGTATGTTTTTCACCAAAGACTTACTGTTATTGCTTTGATTTGCAAATTTATCAGATTATATTAAGGATAATTAAATAATTATATACAGTATAAAGCAATTTGGATAGAGGTAAGTGGTTAGGCTGCCATTTCACAATAAAAATTAATTTAATTCTAATTATTAAACTTAACTTTAGAATATTGTGGAAGAAAAGATCTGCCCAGAGCAGGACTTAAGCAGGAATTGCTTACCATGCAATACTAATTGAATCAAGTTGATGTATATGTTATCAAATTAATTTTTATTACTTTAATAAACCATAAAAACTTAATTTTATAATAGTTAAGTAATATTACTAATCTATAAAATGAAGTTGAACAATTTTTTGCACACTGATTATATATTAAATACTAGCTTACCCGTCGTGCATTGCTGCGATCTCAGAAGAAACTAAATTCAAGCAAACTTGTAATGATAAAATTAAATTTTCATTTTATCATTTTTATTGAAACTTATTATTACTATTCGTTTTCATCGGGAAAACATTTCAAAGTGTTGTTTCAATTCTATTTATTTATTGGAGTGCTCGTGGATACACGATATTTTTTGTTTCTCCGTCTGGTGCGTACATGAATAAATCGGAAGGTTTTCCGATGCATGAGCCGGCCACGTACAGTTGTCCACGCAAGAAGCACGGATTCTCCAAATTTAGCCCACACACTCGCAGCGATTGTCAGAAGCACGATATTCCCCATATATATATATATATATGGGGAATATTTCACAACATGCCAAGGAAGAGAGGAAGGAGCAATTAAATAATTAAAATTATAAAGGATTAAAAAAAATATATATATACATTATATACATTCATTTTTATATATATAGATAATCTATGACAAAAATTAAAATTAAAATAGCCACCTTTTGAGAAAATAATAATAAATCAAATTTCTGAATACAAGAACTTAACTGTATGGAAGATTTCCAACAAATATGGTCTTTCTATAGTCATGTTGTTGATTATTGTTAACTCTATCTACTCTTATATGATTATCTTGAATTTTAGTTCCATTTCTAAAATAAAAATATACTATTTTACTATGAATATTTCCAAAACTTTAAACTATAAATAAACATCTTACAATTTTAATGAATCCATAGCCATGTGTTCTGTTTTAAAAACAATGTAAGCATTATAACTTGTGATGTCGGGATGATATAAGTTTCTGTTGAAATTTTTGAAACAAAATATATATTAATTTATTACCATAGAAATTAATACATTTTTATCAGTACTTACTTTATAACTGCAACTTTTTTAGGTAAAGTGGGTTTAATTGGTGCCTGTTCAATTTAGAAAAATCATATAAAAATTACTTTTTATACTTAATGAACTCTTTTATATACGTTATTCCTTGTTTATTCTAAGAATTTATTAAGTAATTGTTATTAAGTAATTTATATGTAAAACAAGGTTAATCTAACAATAACAAAGAATTTTAGTAAAGATAGTTACATGTTCAAACCAGAGATTTTTTAATAACATAAAAAATTTCAATTTATTTGATATAAAGAACAATAAAAAGAATTCAAATAATAAAATTAATTTAAATTATAATTTAATATTTGATGATTCCATATATAAAGAGATTAAATATATTTTTTTAAATGTAATACAAGTATGAAAATAATAGAGTTGATGATATTTGGTGTGGGGAAACTTAAAAATTGTGGATTACCGAGAACACGTTACAAATTTGAGAACCTTGAAAGACAGTATCACACTGTGTTTTGAGGATCAGTTATCATACTCACTGTCATCTTCAGAATAGAGACATTGAATAGTATCCTCTGAATTGCTAAGGTTTCTGTATAGCATGAATGTCTTGTAAAAATAAAATGTTTGTTGCTTGTAATGGTGAGTTTTGTTACCAAATTTTAACAGAAATGTCTTTGGTATATCCTGAAATGTCACCATATTGGATTTGGTTGCATTTATGCTGCTAAATATTTCTGCAGATGGTGATTGTAATTAGAGTACTCCTGTTAAATACTAAGTACATTTATTTTCTTACATAAAATATCAATACTTCATCAGTTCATTATCAACTCTACATTTTATTTACTGAAAACAGGTGCTAGCTTTTTTAAAATCTACATTTTCCAGTGCCTGTTTCCAGTAACACCCCCAGAGAAGGTATGGATGGATGCAAGCAAGACATCTGTATGTTTCCAGTTATTTTTTAGAAATTATTTATAATTTTAATTGGATATATTTTGTGTTTTTAAAAGGACCTTTTTTGTAACCTCTGGCAACAAGTAGCCTAAAAAGAAAGGTCAGTTGCCAAGAACGTGTATAGTCTTGGAACACAGAGAAAATAAATGGTGATCCCTTTTGGGCAGACTTTGTCTTCAATTTTATTAAACAATATTCTCCATTGGATGAAAATTTACAAATGTATATTTTAAACTTACTGAACCTATTTCAATCAATTTTTACTTTCCTGGCTCTGTTATTTATAACAGAGCCAGGAAAGTAAAAATTGATTGAATGATTGAAATTGTTATTGAATTTAATTTAAAGATCAAAATTGTTATATATAACAGAGGGAAAGTATGGCAATTGGTCAAAAACTGACCCCCACTAAATTTTTACATTTTTGGACTGTGAGGACATCTTGAAATGTTGAGAAACAGAAAAAAAATTTGAGGATTTTTTCTCTCTCTCTCTCTCTCTGTGTGTATGTGTGTGTGTGTGTGTGTGTAGCAGCTTGCTTTTGTTCACCCTCTTTGAAGCTTAATAATTCCTGTGCTTTTCATCAAAAATTTCTGAAATTTTGCATGGAGTTCATGTATTAGAGAGATTGATGCTATTAAATTTTGATGGTTAAAGGTTGATGGGGTGGGGAGATAAAGAGGGATCATGTGTCATATCTCCAGTAAGGTCAGACTTAATGATGATTTTACTTGTTATTAGCATTTACAATTTTTTATAAAACCCATCCCTACCCTCAAAATTAAGCTTTTGCCATTTTATAATAATTAAAAATATAAAACGTTTTTAATAATAAAATATTATAACAAATGGCACCACATATGCAATTTTAAATGTTGTGGGAAAGTTAAGCAACATGTTGCTGGATTTTTATATTTACTTTTTTATGTTTTATTCATGATAACACAAATAAAAAATTTTAGGAATTGTAGATAAATTCACAAGAAGTAAAATTTTTTTCTATTATAAACTTTGAAATGTTTGAAGGTAATATTTCAATTTTTCAATACTTCATATTATTATTTCAAGTAATGATACATTAAAATTAAATATACCTCATCATATATATAATAATAATAATAATTAGTTATACTCTATTCGTATTTATTATACCTCAATATTAATTTCAATTAATTCAAATATAAATTAAATATTTATTTTAATAATTTTTAAGATTAAAAAAAAATTATGAAATTGAAAATATACTCACTGCACTGCGTATCCTAATGCTTTCTACGACACCGAAAGACTTGAAGATATTTTTTATTTCCTAGAGAACATTATTAGTAAGTTTATGAAAGTAAAATGTTTTAAAATTTATGATTTTACCTCTTTGTTAAATGTTACAGGAAGATTGCCAACAAAAACTGTCCTCTTGTCTTTATCATAGTCTTCAGATGTTTTCTGATATTTCTTTCTTCTGAGTTTATAATACATGTCATATTAGAAGGATTATAAATATATCTAAATAATGTATAATATATTTTGTCCTTACCTGTTTTTATCCTTTTGTTTTGGCATATTGCTTGAATTTTCCTCTCCCTGAACAGAAAAATAAGAAAATAAATTATTTTTTCTATTATGAAATTTGATTCATTCTTTTGTAAAGTATTTTTAAACAATTATTCTAGTCACATTTTTTCAAATATTAAATATTTTCAATTATGTTTCTATTGTATATTATTATTGACTAAGACCAAAAAATCTAAAAATAACTTTTGTACATACTACTTATGTACAATAATTTGTACATACTACTTATGTACAATTGTTATAGACTACAGAAATAAACTACTTTTTTCATGCAAAAACATTAATAAAGAAACTTTTTCAATTGGAATGTATGACTAAATTTGAAATTAAGAAAACAGATCAACATCAAAAATAAGAATTGCTATAAACCAATAAACTACAGTAATTTGAAAATTTACAGCACATTACAAAATCCTAATTCGAGTAACAATTATTTAATCAGATTCCCTGAAAAATGTATATTAAGTTGTTAAAAGGCTAGAAATAAAATTTACAGTCCCTAGCAGAGAAAGTCCAAAAATATTTAATTTTTTTTCTGTTAAACTCGTTCTTAATTATTTACTCTTTAAACAAACTGAATGAATCTTAATGATAACACATACTTTTACTTTATTCATTATTACAACTAATAAATTGCTTATCTACAAGGTCTGTTCAAAAAGTATCGGACCTTTGGTCGGCAAAAATAAATTTATTGACTTTGAGGTACAAAACCGTAATCCCCTTCAAAGTAGTCTCCTTGGTAATGTATACACTTCTCCCAGCATTCCTGCCATTGCTGGAAACACTGCTGGAACGCATCTTTTGGAATGACCATCAGCTGGTCCGTCGGATTCCGCACGATGTCTTATCTCGACTAAATTCAGGTTCCTTTTAGCAGCATTTTCAGCTTGGGAAATACCCAAAGGTCACACGGAGCCATGTGGAGAGAGTACGGAGCGTGACGAACCACAGGAGTATTGTGTTTGGCGACGAAAGCCCGAATCAGATGCGCAGAATGGGCGGATGCGTTATCACGATGGAGCTGCCAAGTTTTGATCGACCACAGATCCGGTCGTTTGCGTCGCACTGTATCGGAAAGACGACGAAGGACCTCCTGGTAGTACTCCTTTGCGATGGTTTGGCCTTGTGGTGCGTACTCACGACACACCACCCCACGAGAGTCGAAAAAACTGTCAACATGACCTTTGATATTGCTGCGGACCTGCCGCGCTTTTTTTGGCCTCGAGGATCGTCCCCGAAAGCCTGCTGAATCTTGCGAATGGTTTACACTCGGGTATCGCCAAGGTTTTTGGCAAAATTTGATGTAATATCGCTGCTCACGTTGTTCAGTCATTTTCCAGATTAGTGGAATCCGACGAGAGCACACTACATGACCTCACTCATAGGCCAATTGCCGACGACTGACGCTTCCTGCAGGCGGGAAAAAATTCAGGGCTGTGCATGACTGTCCCCTCCACAACTCCACCGAAGGAGGCCTCTCACGCATCATTGGTTTACATGGAAAAAAAAAAGGGCCCGATACTTTTTGAACAGACCTTGTATAATAACATTGTAAAGTATTGACCTTTTAGCAGAGAGGAAACAAAAGAAGCACGACCTTGTCAATTGGACCCATGTGCGGTCGGGCAATATACAACTTGTAAGGTGTTGACTTGTAAACAGAGGGAAAACAAAGGAAGTGCCAACTTTGTCAATTGGACCCACCTGTAGTCAGACATTAGACCATTTGCCATATGATAAACAACTGAATGTAAACAAGTAGCAGACGTTTACGTAAGCTCCACTCTCGTCGGATGACGGCAGACCCGAGTGTAAGCTGTTCGGGCAAGAAAGGATTGTGATTGGTTGGAAGTCCCCTTAAATTGCGGGGCGAGGAAGAGAGAAGGGCAAGAGACTGGTACACGGTAGACTCAGGCACTTGGGAAGCCTGCTGAGTGTAGAGAGAGTGTTCTCCTCTGGTAAACATCTCAGGGAGGATTAGTGCGGAGACTGGACTGACCATGCAGTTGAGGCAACTCCACAAGCTAACTGAGGCCATAGTTCTCAGAACCTAGTACGTGAGTCACCATGCATTGTTATCTTGTATGTATATTATGTTTTCAAACATGTACTTTCTGCATATAGAATCTGTAAATAAACTGTAAATATTATCAATTTGAGTGTGGAGGTGTGCTTTCCATCGAACCTGGATCACTACATCGAATTGTGATACACACGGAAACCAACTTTACGAGACGGAGTTTGGGAAAGAACTTCACTAGATCTTCACTAACATATACAACTAATTCACTAATTTAACCAATTAAACAGCCAGATTCTTAATTGACTACTTAAGGCAAGTTAACTGCTAAGTAATTTTGCCAGAGTTAGGTGGTTAAGCTGCCATCTCATGTTAAATTTAATAATTAGAAACAAATAAGTGTAATTTAGAATATTCTAGAGAAAAAGATCAGCAAGAGCAGAACCAAAACCCTAAACTCCTATTTACTGTGCAGATGAGTGCCAGTTATGCTACCTAGACCTCTGTTCTATCTCTGCTTCCAGACTAATTAATTAATATAGATATAGCCATACTTCATTCATAGCATTGACTTGGGATGACTTAGTGCCCATGACCCTCCATGGCTCTCAGACAACTTACACTTTTATTTGGCATGGTATACTTCCATATAATAACATACATAATCAATCCAAACTGCTTACTAATTAATTAACCTTAAATAACACTATAAAGCATCTGGCTGCTCATTTGTTGCTTGAATAATCTATTTTATTTTTTTTGTTTGATCTATGAAGATTGAGTCTTGAGATGAAATATAATTAAATTAAATCATATTTTTATTTATTTTATTTATAAGCATTGTAAAGAAAGATGTTATTCATCAAATTATCATAAGTTTTTAAACAATCTACTTTTACTTATAATTAAAGAAATAATAAAAAAAACTATCAGCATTTATCCTAACTGAATATAATAAAAATGAAGATAATTTCAGAAGAATAGAAAAAAGAACAATTTGATTTTGTTGAATGTAGTAATCTGACAATTATCAAATAATAAAAATTCTTTTCTATTTAATAACTAATCCATTATGGAAAATAAAAAATATACTACAAGTCAATATGTAATAGTTTTACCTCCTGAAAATGAACAGATTGTTTCTTTTGTTTTTTAGACTTAAGATGTGTTTTATTTCCATCTTCTATCAATTCATTGTTCACATTAAAAATTTCTATTTTGCTATTTTGATCTTTCTTTTGTTTCTCATTTGACTTTTTGTTGTAGGCTATTTTTTCTTGTGCAATATGTTCAGACTCATCTTTGACTATATATTTTTCTCTGAACTGAAAATACAAACAAGCAAAATTTTAGTATAAATTACATTACATATACAGCAAATCTTTTTTCTTGGATATTTATAATAATACAATATCAACATTAACACAAGTACAGTTATCAGTATCTTGTGATGTTTATCATTGTTCTAAGAGAAATTAAAGTTATTTGCATTCTTTTATTATATTTTAGTAATTCTTAGGGTGCAAATTTTCCGAGTGAGTGAAAATATGTGGCGAGAAGAGGTGACGACGTTTCAAGCTCTCATCTGTGTGATCATAATAAACAAGACCAAGAAACAGAGAGTGTGAAACGGCTCATCTCTTCTTGCTCGCTCGTATCTCCATAGTAACATCCTTACTCCAGGAGGCAACTCCAATGGTATGAAATCTTCACTTTCTGTTTCCAATATTCTCTTATGCTGATTTGTTTCATCTGTATGACGTTTCTTCTTTGTTTTCTTCCTTTTCTTTACATTTTCTTCCTCGAATTGTATATCCTCCGACTTAGTTTTATTTAGGAATGCAGTTAATAGACCAATTTTATATTCCATTTTTTAACCTATATAGAAAATAATTTAACTTTATTTATATATACACAATTTGCTTAAAAGTAACTATTACCAAAAACTTATCGAATGGTTCTCATCATTTACATGATAAACTAATCAAATGAATATTAATTAAGAATGAACACTGTAAAAATATGCAATTGTATCATTAAATGCTTCACAAAATCAGTTTCAATATTAAATTTACGCTAAGATTCGAATAACGTAGTTAAATAAACTAATTATAAGTAAGCAATTTTGATTTGAACATACTGTGAATCACGTGTAACAAATGACAACACTGACTTCTCTCCACCTAGCGGAGAAAATTGTTTATGGATAAAGAAAATTTAAATAGAAATTAAAATTGCTTAAAATATATCCATTTACGGTTAATTTTACTAACTATTATAATATTTAAATAGTTTAATGTAAAATTTATTCTAGTAATTTTTAGAATTGATATTTATCAATTTTCCATTTTTTTTTCGTCTTTTGGGCACTAAGAGAGTTTTTTTGAATCCCCACTTTAAGTCCTGTCAGGCTCACAATGCGGGTAGCAAGTGACGAGAGATTGGTCCGATGTTTCCGGATCTAAAATTCTTGATCAGACTTGGACGCTGGTCAGATGGCCGAGGCGATTAAGGCATTATCCTACCACTCTGGGTATTCCCGGGATCGAATCCGGGCGATCAAAAAATTTCAAGAATTTTTCGGGACTGATCTGTCCGGATATGTTGGGCCCCGTCCCTCACCATTTGATTGTGGACCTAGCCGAACCGACGATTGGTTTGATGAAAAGGCCTTCTTAGTGACCACAAGAGTATAACAGAGAACATACCCGGATGCAAATGTGCGGGCTTTCAGAAGCTGGTGTCTTTACCGCTTCGGCCATCTTGCCAGATTCAATTGTTGCCCTCTAATTTTTATCTTACAATTTGATAAAGATACCTACCCATCCGATCATGTTTACAAAAACGTTACGTAATGCTAGGGTTTCAACTGTGGGTAACAGAATGATTCATTTTTGTTTCTAGTGTTGCTTAGCGAACCACTTCTAGTGTTGCTTTGTACGTTATACACATAATTAAGAAAGTAATATTAGGTTTGGTATCCCGCAGTATGTATTACTTTTTAGTACAGTTAAGGATATTAATCGAAGATTAAGTAATTCTGGAAGCGGGTATGTGTGACAGCGTTACGGAGCGTTATAAAATAGCTTTATGGAAATGGGATGGCAATTGAAAAGTAAAATAACGTTAGGTAATTTGTGAAAAATCCTTCTTTTGTAAATGTAATTGATTTAAGTAATAATTTAGGAAACTTTATTGTCATTACTTTGGTCCAGGGCCAGATCCAAAGGATGCTACGAGGGCTTAAACCCTCCCCATTGACACAAAAATTTAAAATTTATTTATTCGAACTTCAAAACATTTTATTAATTTATCCTAACGCTTCAACGGGTGTATATAGATATTAAAATGTAATTTTATTTGTAGCGATGTTGAATTGTAATTTTATTAAATGCATTTATTATGTAAATTACAGACTTTTGGTTCGAAGTACAGTACATTTTGCGAAGAAAAAAAGTGTCTTAGTATCTCAACTTTTACTAAAGACATTTATAAATTGTGTTTAGTAAAGAATTGCTCTGGAAGTCAACGTAATATTTCCTAAGTCGGTAAGCAGAAGATCCAAATATTTTTTTAAAATTACATTTACGGTGATAAGTATGGTTTATCGTACCACTCGACACACAATCGTCGTGTCTATGTTAATAAAAGGTACTTATTTATTATTGGTTAAATATTTTGGTTAAATTTTAGATACGTATACTGTCATGGCGGCACTTCATATTAGTTATTGATACGTGTGTTCAAGAACTACCGTGAATCAATAACTAGTTACGTTTGGCACAAGGCGGCCTGCCTGCGGCTCCCCTTTGGGAGTAGTCCGTCGGGATCACGAATAATCGGAAGAGCTGCCATTGGTGTTACCTAGGTACACATTAACTGCGAAATTAACAAATGAGATATTGATTTTGTCAGCATAAATTAAAAATACAAAATGCAGACATAGAAATATTAAAAGTTCAAATTATTACAAGAATAATATTTAATATTATTGAAATGCGTAAATATTTTATATAAAAACTAGCATTTAATTAAATGATCAGCTTTAGCAGTGGTTTAATTAATGGTGATTACATAGATATAACTTTGTTCATTTACAATAACTTCGAGTTAAAGCATCATTAATTTGCATATTTTAATGAAAACGCATTCACTAGCAATAAGAACTTTTATGTATTTATTCTGTTGCGTTTTAATTGGGATTTTCCTGTATTTTGAAGGAAATTTAGACAAAATTAGAACGATTGTCAGCTCAGCAGTTGAATAAAAAATTACTCAGTTTAAAGCTATGACTGTTATTTTTCTTACTGTATATAAAAAATATTATAGTGCTTTAGGTTTATTTATATTTTCGTTATTAGTTTTTTTAAAATTTCAGTACTTCACAAACCAATTCCAGCTTTTTACAAAGGAATGTTACTTTTATTCGAGCAATTCTTTTACATTTTTTAATAATCCTGGGTAAGTAATATTGAAAGTAAAACACGTGAAGCAGGTTTACTAACTTTTCAATAAATTATATATCTTTATTTACTTTGATCGCGGCAATTTCTTTATCAAAACTTAAAAAGACAAAGATGCCATCCCTTCAAACCTACAATTGCCGAAAACATTTTAATTCCAGCATAACACTTGTGGATCTTTGTAATATAGTATGTCTCATACCTAATTAACAAGATATATTATACAGGATTAGTTTTACATGAATCGTTTATAATTCGTCATGCTAGTAGTTATTTAGTAAATGAAAGACTAACAAACTTAAGGATTACTATATTGGCTGCCTGACAAGATTCACTCGGATCAGGCGGCAATTGCTAACTCATTAAGAAAAAGGTTATTTAGTATAAATGTCATTGATGTGTCAGTTGTCAAACAGCAATATGCAAAATTCGTGGCGAAAAGCTTAAAATAATTAAACTCGTAACTCACATGCGAGTTACGCGTTAAAATAACCTTTCCTATTCCAGATGCTAGGCTTTTACATGTTTATATCGATATTGTTGGCTCTTTGCCACCTTCCAACGGCTCGGTATACTGCCTCTCTATCATTGATAGATTTTCTCGTTGCCATAAACAGTGGCTTCAGCCCTGTACTCAGACCTGGATATCCCGCTTTGGAGAACCTGCCCGAATAACATCCGACCAAGGACGACAATTCGAATCTGGCCTATTCAAATCCCTCGCTCAACTTCTTGGAGCCAAAAGAGTTAGGACGATAGCATATCATCCAATTGCTAATAGCATGGTTGAACGTTTTCATCGTTCACTTAAAACTGCCAGCAAGTGTCACACGGACAAGTGCTACCTACGGTCCTACTGGGATTGCGAACTGCTAGTGAACAACAGTACGGCAGCTGAGATGCTTTACGGCACTAACCTCAGACTCTCCGGAGAATTTTTCGTCTCAGGACGTCAGTCCACGTTTATTTGTCGAAAAATTCAGGAGGATAATAGCAAACTTAAAACCAATGCTTATAGCGCACCGCTCCTATCGCAACCCATTTATCCACAAAGAACCGGAGTCATGTTCCACGTATATATCCGCTGTTTCGCGGTAAGGAAGCCTTTAAGGTCCATCGTATGGAGGTTGTAAAGACATCTCACGTGGTACCAAGATATTTACTGTAAGCATAAATGGAAAAGAAACTGTAATTTCCATTGATAATATAAAACCTGTCTTTATTCTCACAGAAAGCGCCCGTTTACTCCCAACGTCGAAACCAGTGACGACTAAGTATGCTGTAGAGAATCTAGCGCTATTCTGACAAACTACCATACGCTCTGGCCGACATGTATCTTTTCCCGCTCGTTTTGTGTGACAGACACTGGAGTAGCTGTTGCGATCAGAGATCGAGAAGACTGACTGGCAACACTATACATAACCCGGAGTTGGTTGGCAACATTGTTCTCAGGGCGCGAAATTCTCCTTTTTGTCCGTGGGTCGCCAGAGAATGGAGATTACCATACGGTTACTCTGGCCACGTATAATAAAGTTTTGTTACAGTTCGTGTGGAGGTGAAGCCTGATTTTAAATTTAGATCTCACGCACGTATTGACATTCGTCTGTCTAGCGTTTGGCAGTGGCGTGCCGTGACATTTGATGATAAGGAAGCTGTGTTTCTGTAAGAAGCCGACTTCCAGGGGCAATCATTTAATTGCGCGTCAGTGATGGTCTAGGGCAGGCATGGCCAACGTACGATCCGCTGGCCACATTTGGCCCGTCTAATGAATTTATGTGGCCCGCGTTCAATCTTTCAATATTGGCTACTGAAGTCCGAATAGCTCGATGAAAAATTTTGACGCCTAAAAAAAAAAGGTAACAACTTACTGTGCGTTTAGAGTTAATCCTCCATTACAAATCCCGTCGTAAGTACAGCGTAAAATGTTGATAAAGCATGATAATGTGAAAAATGTATTGTAACCTCTACCTACAATCCAGTCTCCACGGGGTGACACCACAATGAGATCTCGCACCACCTCAAAATCTTCCTAGGGCATCCTCTGGTTCGGCCCGTGGAAAAAGTTTTCTTTCCAAATCGGCCCGGGAGCAAAAACTGTTGGCCACACCCTGGTCTAGGATCCATTCGTATTCATTTGTTCGATAAGCCAGTAAAAAGACTTCTCTAAATGTATTTTTAATATCACAATTACATTCCGAATCGCTAGCCATGGTATAAGGGCTAAAATTATAAATAAAATAATAAAAACTTACTCGGTGAAATAAAATGTGTGGTGGACGTAACGGTACATACCTGGTACAAAATATTCTTCAATTGTATGAATATACTTTTAAAGAAAATTATAATTAAATATGGCTTTGTAAAGAAACTTTACTTTTTAAATCTTAAAACAATGCATTTATTCAAATAGCTCACTACGAATGGCTAATGGATGGAATCAGAGACGGTCCTGTTAGGTTCATGCGCGCGGGCTGCCAAATCCCGAGGGTGCCGATACCAGTCAATGTCAAATGCCTCTTTTGTCGCATCACTAGTATATCTCAAAGGACGCGACGGGGTTCTTGTAAATTTTAAACGTTTCTCACCATAGCTGTAAAAATCTAAATATGTTAAACTTAATAGATTGTCCGTTGTTTGTTTTCTAACTAATTCGTTTTAGGACCGGGTGTTGTCCACGGAAATTTCCAACTTTTCGGTCACTCTCGTCGAACTGGAAAAATGTCTGTCTTTATTACATCTGATATTTCGAAGAAATCAGTCCCCATTGTACTCGGCTAGAGATTGGTTCGGTTAAGCTTTTGTTTAAGTAATATTCCGGCTCTTTCATCAGGGTTTTGTTTATGTCCCCAATTCCCTAATCGCTTAATTATTTAACTACTTAAGTAGAAATAAGTCGAAACTGGTTACTTTGTACTCGAATATTTGTAGTCTCGGGAAGAAAGTGGAAAGACAAATTTTTATGTCAACGGATACATAAATCGTAAATTTAAGGAAAATAAATTCTAAGGCTTTTTCTGTACCTGGTGCATCTCTCTCATTCATTAAATTTAGTTGTAAATGGCGCTGTCGAAGTAACGGTTAATTTTTCTAACATTACACAAGAATTGTACACGTCTTTTTCTACATCCCCTTAAAGATGGGACATACGAAGAAATGGCACAATTACTTTTTGCAAATGTTTGTCATTCAATTTTAACAAATGTGTTTATTATAATGCGAAATCAAAGGAAACAAACCGAAACCCATCAGGAATTACTTGTTTATATATGTTTAGAAAATGAATTATCATTATAGACTTATGAAACGACAGTTCAGTTTAGAATAAAATTTTATTCGTCTGACGAATAATGAGAAATTGATCAAAATAAATTTTGTTTTAATCATTTTTGAAAATAAATGATATTTTAGAAAATCAAAAAGATGAATTTTTTTAAAATTAAATGTCAATCTTGGGAATTTTCGCTGGTTTTTCGGGCTGTAAATCATCTGAACTGCGAACTCTTTTTCTTAAGAAAGAATAAATTATTTGGAGAGATGAAACTAATCGTTGGTATGAACTTCTCTGTTCTGTGTTGTCGCATTCTATTATTGATGTTTCGGTGTTGTTTGTTTCGCCATTCCTTTCTAGTTGATTAAGATTTTCAGGTTCGTGTTCTTCAACATCCACGGTAATGGCGAGATCAACTTCCATATCAGAATCATAAGTGTCAACGAAGGATTCGTCTGAGAATTCATCTGAGGATGCGTCTGTTTCGCTCGAAATATCCTCACTTGAATTTCCCCAAGATTCAATAGAAGTAAAACTTTCTTTTCTCAGGCTGTAAACCATTTTCGATTTTTTTATCCTAATTTATGAAGAGATTGAAAATTCGATTAAATTTAAATTAAACTAAAATATTTTTATAACAATTGAAATAGTTTATCTTCAAATAAAATACATTTCCATTGTTATGGGATTTGTTTAATTCTAAATATAGATCTGTGTAAAATGATACTCGAAAAGAAAGTCTCATTAACTGTTCTACATTAAATCATTTCTGTCAGAACCCCACTTTTAAATTTGAATAATTAACAAGAGTTTCCTCCAGATTTGGATTGGGTCGAATCGATGGGATAAGGCAACGTAACACAATGGGCACTGTATTAAACGAAGGTCTTCCCTGGATAACTTTCTACGGGAAACTGGCTTCTATTTAGATGTTAGGCAGGCGAAGAAATTCTGGAAAACTGTACGCGAACCCACGACCAACTGCAGCGTTTGGTGGTTTTATCCACTCGACGGTTGTCCGGATTTGTTACATAGAACATCGTACAGAGTAGAATATGCACGAGTAATTAATATTAATTACCGACCAATCTGTGGCCATTATAATTTCTGTATCTAATAAGAATGATGGCAACGAACTAGACGATAGAGTGATAATATACAATTAAAAATACCAATATTTAAATGTTGTAGTAAATATTAAAATTTTATTCTGAAACACGGTTTAAAAGTATTTTATATTTCTCTGTTTTAAAATATTTTTAATGTTTTTTTAACTTTAAAGAAACGTTTTAAATAAATATAGAAATAAAAACGTACTCGTTAGTTTCTTTCTCCTTTCCTTTCTCGTTGTCAACAATGTTTTATGACAATTAATTTGATTATTGTTGCTCTGAATAGTTGCTGACGTTTATTCCAAACTTAAGAATTAGGCCTTTCTTTGGTAAACAATCGGACAGTTTCTTAAATGAAAATGTTGTAAATCTTATTATATTTTTTAAAAAAACATCGAATAATAGTGAAAATTTTCCAATAACATTCGTTTAGTGTGTGTATATTTTATATTCCGTGAAATTTATAGAATATTGTGTGATTTTTAAATTAAATTGTTTTCATTGAATCCCACGAAAACAATTTATTAAACACTTGTTCATTTATATGCAGAATGGAGGCCTCTAAATAATTTTGTGTAGTTAATAACACTTATTCTGTACTTTAATGGGCAATACGAAAATTTCAATTGTCACGTATGTTAGGCACTGTAAAAATTGATAAGATTAAAGTATTTTTTCAAATTTCTTCATACGTTTCTTTATTCTAAAGCAAAGAGTTTCAAAATATTTTCATAAATATCACACAGAGGACGAAAAATTGAAATAATTAATTGTGTAATCTCGATGAAATTCGAATATTTTTGTAACAATATAACATATACTGGGTGATCGTAATTAAACTACTTATCTCTATTCAACACTCTATAGAAGGATATTTAGCAGTCCAAATACAACTAAATCTTGTATAGTGACATTTCAGGACACGCAGAAAACGTTTTCATACAAAGGGAATTTTTCGCGCTGCAAGCAACAGACATTTATTTGTACAAGACCTTAACGATACACGGTATACTCCTCAATGTTGATCCCTATTCTGAAGGTACAAAAACTTGAAGGTGATCAACGGCAGGCCATAATTGACAATCAGAGCAACAACCCGACTGAATTTCCGTATTCTTTAAGGCACTTAACCCATTGTGACACAGTCGAGTTATGCCCCGTTCGAAGAAGGTAGCCGGACATTGGTGGAAACCAATGTCGGTCAGCATCTTGCACTTCAGTGTTTGAGGAAAATCGTCTGCCTTTAAGTGCCCTTTTGAGTTTCCCAAAAACATGGAAGTCGCAGGGTGACAGGTCAGGACTATAGGGGAAGGTGTTCGAGTACCTCCCAACGAAACTGCTGTAGAAGGTCCTTTGTCATGTTGGCTGTCTGAGGACGTGCATTGTCATGCAGCAAGATGACCCCATTCTTGAATTTTCCTGGACGCTTGTATTAAATTGTAATGAGCGCAAGGTGTTGAAGTGGATGTTGCATTGATGGTGCTGCCGTGCTGCATAAATTGAACAAGTAGAGAGGACCCTGATGGTCAAAAAATGGGATATCACCTTCCCTGCCGATGGTCACACGCTCTTGCTCTTTGTGGGTGAAGGTGAATGTGAGTGTAATTTGTAAAAGTTGGCAGTTAATGAAACACACTCTTCCCGCTCAAGGAGCACTAAGAGAATTACGAGAGTGTATATTTGGTTCCAAGAATGACTCGCCAGTGCATAAGGAGCTACCCATTCGGTAGTCTGTGGAACAACAGCATGTAATATACCGAGAAGGGATAAAGAAGTAGAAGTATCATTCATTTAAGTTTTTTTACTGTTATTGTCATTATTATTTATTTTTTTTATTTTTTACTGTTATTATTATTTATTTATTTTTTTAATTATAAATTTATATATGTACTGTATATGTAAGTAACATAAACAAATATAAAATATAATAAATTATAAATAGACGAAAGCAGTAGTCAGTAATGGGTAGGTGCAGATCTACAGAACAGAGTGCAGTAAATTATAAAGTACAGTAAGGATAGGAGAAAGGTTATTTATCTAGTTTGGTCGCATAGTGCCACGGGCCAGGTAATCAATTTGTTTGTGAAGTGTGTAATAGTTGTTTCCGCCAAGGGTCGAAAAGAGCACAATTATATATTGTGTGTTCTAAAGTGTCGGGTACATAATCTCCACAGTTACAGTTCGGTTGATTTATAATTTTGAATCTAGTTAGATAATTATTAAATTTGCCATGTTCTGTAAGTATTTGTGTTAGCCGAAAATCGTGGGTTATAATTTTGCAGTTGTGTCTACTTTCTAATTTCGGGAAGAACTTGTGTGTAATCTGTCCTTTATTATTTTCATGCCAACGATTTGTCATGTCCTGATCGACCAATGCTGCAGATGTAAACGAGCGAATGCTACAGGTATGTCACTGTATTTAATTGTGTCCACTGCATGCTGGCACGCTTCGGCTCTGGATCGTAATGGAAACACCACGTCTCATCTCCCGTCACAATGAGTCAAAGAAACCATTACCATGCAAAGCCAAACGCGTCAGATGCTCCAATGACAAGCTCATCCAGTTGATGGTCTGTTCTTCAGTGAGTGAATGTGGAACACTGTGCATAGTACCGATACTCATGGCTACTTCAGCTGTAATGTCACTGACTGTTCACTAACACTAAATCTTCCACCATTTGCACATTCTGCGGTATGGCTGCATGCTGCGGACGTCCCGGTCGTTGGTCGTCCTTCCCAAAATTTTCTAGCCCACACCTTCACCTTCACCTGGGCAAGGCTTAGGGTGTATGGACCATACACCTGATGCATTCGCCGATAGATTGCTTGTGGCTCTGCAACCTTCCTTAACAAGAAACCCGATTACTCCACGTTGTTCAACTTTGGAGGCTTCCATTGTCCAACAAAATCACTCGAACAAATGGTGGGCTACGGATGTTCGCCGTATATGGGGGTGTCACTTTGGTGCCCTGCGCATTCGCATGCAAATTTTCTGCTTAGACTGCGCTCATCGGCTGGTTATTTATTGAACACCCTATATATTTATATGGTTTTCACTGCCTAGATGTTTTACCTTTATCACACACGGTCGCCTGCCTGCCATACGTAAATGTGCGTAAATATATGCCTGCAATCATTACACGCCTGCTAAATATATAAAAACCGTCCTGCAAGGAACCAAAGTTTAACTTTCAAATACAAATTTACATAATCAGTATAATTGAAATACAGCACACGTTAGGAGTCATTGATTTCTCAAACACAGAAAATTTTATAACATTGTTTAATAAAATATTCATGATTTTATATTATCAGGGGCGAATTCTATGGGCTTGCTTAGCATGCATCGCATGCTTAATTAAGAGCGAGTTTTGACTGTCAAAATACTTTTTACGACGACAAATATGCCAATAATAATTTATTCTAACTAGGGTTTCTCATTTCCCGGTATTTTGCTTGTCCCGGGATCCCGGGATAAAAGTGAACTGTTTCCCGGGAAATCCCGGGATAGAATTAATTATTTTTAAGGTATACAAAATATCTTGAAATCAAATGATATAATTATTTTCCATTTTTTAAAGTAATTTTAAAGTTTTGTAACCTCCAAAATCATATTAATAATGCTGTGTTAGGTCTATAGGCCTATAATAAAAATTACCTTTAAATAACGTAGAAATTTTCACAAATAGAAAAAAATTAATTAAAGTTTGCTGGAAACTGCATACAACAACAACAAAAAAAATGTTTTGAATTGAGTTAAAAATTAAAAAAATGAACTTCTAATTTAGAAGGTAATTTTCGTTTTTTAAATAAAATATAATACAAAATATTGCAAACTTTTATAAGATTTTAAAAAGCAAAGATGGTCAATACTCCGATAACTCACTCTAATTCTTATTTTAGTAATGAAAAGTCTTGCCACCGAGAATGCCCTTTCCGATTCAATTGATGTGATTGGAATAGTGTTTAATGCATTTAAGAGAAGACAGATATTATGTGTTTTTTCACCTGTAGCCTGGAAGCTTTCGAGTTCGTTTTCGAGATTGTAGTACTTCTTTCGCTCTCTAGTATTCTTGATTTGTCTACCTTGGCTGCTTTAATAGCGGCATCAAGCTTAGAGCTCGATAATTCGGCAATTCATTTGGCTTTAATAATCAGGTTTATGAAGAAAAACTTCATACTTGCAGACTTTGTACTCGTTTGTATCCTTGCCCAATTTGCACAATCTGGCGTCAGGCATTTATTGAAGCTACTGGGCATGGTTAAAACTCAAGACAGCGTAAGCACAATTATTCCAGATATTACAGGTTCCGACAAGTAAAGAATTTTTATAGTCCTGCCACAAATAAGCTATATATTGATTATTGACCATTTGTGACATGCTATAACGAGCAAAAATTTAAAAAAACTAATAGGTAGGTTTAAAATTAATAAATACAAATGTATTCTGACAGTGAATGAGTTAATTATGCTTTCTATTTGCAAAATTCCTCAACCTTAACGCAAAATAAGAAAAAAAATGAATTTTTAAGAAATTTGCGGGATTTCCCGGGTTAAAAAAAACAACCGGGATCCCGGAATCCCGTTTCAGAAACCCTAATTCTAACGTATAAACTCTTTTATCGTTTGTGTTTCCTTTTACATTGACAGCTAACGGCCAGCTGTTTTAAGCCAGTGCGATGCTTGCGGGAACTCAATCGCTTGCTCGTGTGGAGGTTTTCTGCAGCAAACAAATGCGCGTATGACGTCATTCGAAGCATTTAACACGGCCAGATTGTATCGAATGCTTACGCGATACCCGGTCAGCATACATTATGTGGTTTCAAATCTAAGTTGTGAATTGTTGAGAGTTACGTACGTTGTTGCTATATGTTATTTTATTGACACCAAATAACGTTTCTGCCTATTGTTTAATACAGGGGTCACCAAACCTTTTCACAGAGGGCAAGATAACTGAGAGAATGACGAGCGCGGTCTGCATAACCATTTTGTTCAATATAGCACACTGAATACACAAAAAATAAAGACAGCCAAAATATTTATTTACCAATACACAAACACAATCGCTACAGCAAATTCATGATGGCTTTTTTTTTAGAAACTTCATTGCAGAGACTTACACAAAAAGCGCTCTGATAGTCGCCGAATTTTTTATTTCGCCGATTTTCCTAAAAATTATGTTACTGTTAAATAATTACCTAAGATTGGACCACTTCTGGCATTTTTACTTACACTTATTTTAAACTTACTATTTAGAAAAAATTATCTACAAACTATGATATTTCCATATAAATGATTATATTTTAGCTCATTTGTGGCAGTGCGGCAGCAGACAGGATCTGGCTAGCGGGCCGTAGTTTAGTGACCCCTGGTTTAATGCTAGCGATAGGACCATTATTCCTATTATACTTTCAGCTTGCCTAGAAATTTTGGTCATTTGCCACTGATTATAATGTTCATTTTCTCATTGTTGGATCTTCTTAAAAGGGCCTGTTGTCCATTTGTTGTGTGTTATTCTGAGAATCACTTGACAGTATGCTAAGTGATTTGCTTTGTAGATAAATCCTCTTTCTGCAGAGGAAAACAAAAACTTCTGAGAAGAACACACAACAAATGGACAACAGGCCCTTTTAAGAAGATCCAACAATGAGAAAATGAACATTATAACATAATATAAAATCATGAATATTTCATTAAAATTGCCTGTGTTTGAGAAATCACTAATGCTTAACATGTGCTTCATTTCAATTGTATTGATTAACTTTCAAATACAAATTTACATGAACTTGGTTCCTTGCAGGACAGCTTCTATATATTTAGCAGGCGTGTAATGATTGCAGGCACATGACCATGCATGGTGTGTGTATAGCTGTGTACAGTATATCACATCATTTCAAATATACAATATAAAATAATCAAATATATTAAATAGCTTTCTCATTTTAAAAATCATCAATCAACTTTTTTAATCATTTACTAATTATATGGTCTCTTTTTTTTAGAATGTTTTTCCATCCATAATATGATTTTGTTGATTTCATAACCATGCTTTAAGTCAGGGATGGTGAACCTTTTTGTGTTTGCGTGCATATTGTAATCATACTTCGAATAACGATATTTAAAGAAATTAAATGAATACGCTTTAATTAGAATAAATGTAAAAAAGCTGATTGAAGGAAGGATGATCAGGTGGTAAACTGAAAAGATGATTGAAAATGACAGAAATCATATGATACATTACGTGCCAGATGATTTATCCTTACGTGCCACTTTGGGCACGCATGCCATAGGTTCGCCACCCCTGCTATAAGTAATACAACAAAGAATTTTTTTTGAATGTTATCATCTGCTAACTTTACAATTAGTTTATTTGCTTTCAGTAGTACTAAATATTTTTTATTCAAATATCATAATTTTCAATATAAGTAATTTGTATTCTTTAACATGAAAATAATCAAAACAGAAAAATAAAATGAATTATTTTATTATTTGATATTACAATAATAAAAATAACTTACTTTTATAACAAGAATATTATGGAGAGAAGGCACATTCTATACATATATTTTACATGTAATATTTTGGGCAAATGTACATTGCACTAGTCGTAGGAATGATGTACAGTACGTGAAATATGAAGTTATCTTCCACTCACCGTGATTTCAACGAGATATATATTTAATGCAACAATGTTTCAACAAACTGACGACACTTCGTTTGTGCCTTTCAATAACAAAATTCAATGTCTGAGAAACAATTAGATCATATTTTGTTTATCAAACATCAAATATAACAATCTGATTAACATTCCTTTTATAGTTTAAAGTTTCTATAAATTTTAATAAACAAAATGACTAGTGATCCTTGATTCATTCTTCTCGGAGTAAGTTCGTTACTTTTTGGAAACAGTTATGCATGTAATTTTATTTATATACACACATAGTATAATTCTATACACTGATGCAAAGTCAATTGGCACTCAATCCTGCATTTATATTCACCATTTACTTCTATAAATTTTGATATGTAAATTGGAAGACACCCATTTATGTAAAATTTAAAAATTTTTTTTACAGCAACATAAAATTAATTACATTTTCAATTTGCCAAATTGTACGAAAGAAAAATGCTTATAAAAACAAAATCCATATGTATAAACAGCATTAAAATTGCATATTTTCTAACTAATAATAATCTTGAAAATTCAAATATTTTGTTAATTGAATTTCTAAGTACAATAGCATAAATAATATAAATACTAACTAGCTATACAATAAAATACTATTGATGCAAAAATTGTTATTGACTGATAATCAAATGTCTAAACTATTGAATAAAAATAATTTATCCATTTAAAGATGTTCTCTTTAATGGCATTATTTATGAGGATGTTCATAAAAATACATTAAAAATTTCAAATTATTGTTTCTTTATGTATCAAGTCATACAAAGATGCTAATGATAGCATTAAACAGGTCTGATTGACATATACATATACATATTCAGTATCACTGATAACCTAACAATGTGACAATCAACTTGTTAAATAATTTTAAATTAGAATGATACACTCATAATTGCTTAATCTAAAATGAGTTTACATGCATATCTGCTCAAAAACTGATAATTTACATATGTATTATTCTTAGAATTAATAGCAAAAGTTCATTTAAACTTTTGTAACATTTTATAATTTCTTTACACAATATAGAAAAGTAGATTTAAATTGTACTGAGTACAGTTCTTAATTTTTAACTTAAAAGACAATCATTTGATTTTTCTTGCTTCTACTAATAAGAGAAGTAAATTCTCAATCCAATTCATGTAGAGATTGCATACATATTTCTTGTAACATACTGCATTCAATGACATTGTTCAGATATATCATAAAGCCAAGTTGGGTATAATAAATTCATTGGTATGTTGCTTTCTACAATGAAACTTTTTGGCACAAGTATACATTTATTCACAAATTTCCTTTGTTGATCAGAAATATCAAATTTTTTGTCATCAGTTCTGTATACATTATAAAACTTTCTGCTCTAAATGAAAATTCATATACCTAATTTTCTTTAACCCAAAACACAAATTTTTATAAAAAGAATAAAATTTTAAATAGATAATGTACATTCTTAAATCGGCAAAATTGTCCATTGGTTAAAAAATTGAACCCAAATAACACACATTTGTTTTATATAAAACATATTGGTAGCTCATTGCTAAAGATCTAGTTTACATACTAGAGCTGAATTAAACATTTATAAATTAACTTACAAATAATACTAATAAAAATATTTTCAAAACAGTTGTAAAAAATGAAGCTCCACACATTTATGTAAATTTTTGTTGCAAGTATAACTGATGAAAAATTCAAATATTGAATTAAACGTAGAAGCTACGTAGACATCTTTAAATGAGCCGAGCATTTTTCAGATACTGTATGAGTACAGTATACACAAATTTGTATTGAGCGATTGTCTGAACAGTCAACATTCTTTGTAATCTTAACTCCGTTAAAACTTTTGGCATGTCAATTACCTGTATAAAACATAGCTTTATTTTAATATTAAAATATTTTCAAATAATAAAATTTTTAAATCTGCAAACCTCATTGTGATCCAAAGCAAAAAGCATGATATCACACAAAATAACAACTCCGGTTCTTCCAACACCAGCACTACAATGAACTACAATAGGAGAATTAGTTCTTCTACCTGGAGTTTGACTTTTATTTGCCATTCTCCTTACTGCATTAATTTCTTCCATAAAACCTGAAAACAATTAATTCTGTTACTGTCAATCAATATATGAATTCATTTTTGGTTTATTTATCAAGATAGTCACAAAGTTTCTACTTGTTTAAGAAAAACCTCAAATTTAATAAAATATGGTTAGCATTCTAAATAATACATTTATCATTTTAATTTGAAAATTAAAAAATATTTTTATTTGTAGAAATATCTTCATAATCCATTCAGGGATTAGGCAAATCGCCTACTCCAGCTCTAATTGATTCTTTGTTCCACAGGAATTGTCTTTTCTACAATATTGCATCATGGATGAATACAGGCACCATATACTATTCTGAACAAATCATATCACATATTGCAACTGCCACTTTAGACCATCACAACCACAGAACTTCAGCTTTGGCTATTTATCTTGTCCCAATGCTCATTGGGCAACAAATCTGGAGACTAAGTAGGCTAAGAAAGTGTGGCAATGTGACAGACATTCCTGGGAAATCCTGTGTGCACATAAGCAACAGATTAAGTGGTTTCTATCCACTTTAGCAGACATTTCTGTCTGACAGCTTTCTCTCTGAATGACTTAATGATAAAAATGTTATCCTGCTGCTCTAAGTTTGAATTGAAAACGTTGGTGAAATTTTCATTGGTAGCTTGACTTAAGTATTTTGGTGATATCTCAGCTGCTCCCACTGTAGGGATGGAGAAAGTGCAGAGGCACTGGTGCCCATAGGGCAAATTTGACTGTATGTAAGATGTCATATTTGAAATCCTTTAAAATTGATATCTTTCCACTTTTGCAAGTGTTTCTTTTATCTCTTTCCAAACCAGGAAAATAAATGCTTCAAAATAGAGAGAAAGAAATCCCTTCCAAAAGTATCAATAAATAAAATTCTTTAAGACCCAATTAATTTAAACAACAACAACATTGAAGATCTGGTGGTTAACAGCGATGAGGAAACAAACAAGTGGAGTTGAGTAATGTACTTCAATTTGATAAGAGAGAATAAAGGTAGCAGAAGGGAGAAATTTTCTTTCTATGTTCTGTGGTTAAAAGTATGTTATCAGAATACAGATTCAGTTCTTATATTTGCTATTTTTTGTAAGGATGTCAAATACTGGAAGTGATTGTTAAACTCAATTTTCATTCCCAAGCAAAAATATAAAGGAAATTAAGTGAGCATTTGCCTGGTAAGCTCCATTAAATTTATTAGTTACTGATTATAAAAATAATAATTTATATTTCCATTAAAACTATATCCATTTTCTGTATTTAGGTGCAAATCATACAAGTGTAATGTGAAGGAGTCTTGTTAATTAATTAATTAAACATGGACAAAACAACAACACTACTTGTTGTTTTGTCCTTGTTTAATTAATCTTGAAAATTATTTAAAGTCAAAAAGTTCCAATAATCAAATTTGAAGAGTACCATTTAATTACTCTAAGACCATTTTCTGGATTCAGCATTGTGTAAACAATGTTCAAGGTATTAAATCCTTTCAAAAAGTTAAATTCATGAGAACTATAAGTGATTGTTTTAAGTGACCTTTGAAAATCGTTTTCAGGATAAAGGAAAAAAAGACTCCATGCATACTTCTTATGTAAGTAATTAAATTAATATATATCTTTGGTATTTTTGAAACAAAATGAGTGCAAGGTACTTGACTCAATCTGTATATATACTCTGTACACACATACAGTATGCCTAATATTATTTTCTCTGTTATATAAATAATATAAATAACATTAATAACATACATTGTCTAGTACAATTTCTTCAATCACACTATACTGGCTATGGTACTATTTAGAAAAATGGATTTTTAAGTTCTCCAGTTATGAACTAAGATAAAATTGTATTTAATTTTAATGTAATTTTAAAATATTTACCAAGAAAACCTTGCAAATTTTGAGGACAACTGTGATCAGGCCAATCCGTATATTGTATATGCCAAACTGAACGTTGACTATGAGATATCATATGATTTACAGTAAGAGAACTAGTTACAAATGTAGGAGAAGATATACTTGAATTCCTGAGAATCTGAAACTATAAAAAATAAAACTTATTTTATAAAATTCTGATGATGAAAGAAAGTTTTATTAGACAATTCACTTTATGTAAATAGAATAATAAGATAAAATTATTTAGTCATTTAAATTACATCTGAAAGAACTACTATTTAATATTAAACTTACCTCTCCAATCTGTAATTTATTATTGGAATCATTATCTTGAGGCCAATATGGAAAACATTTTTCTCTGCCTTGCTCCTTCAAATAATTTTTTATTTCAATAATTTATAATACTAACAATAATGATAAAGTCAAACATGATTAACTGATTAGTTGAGAATAAGTCAAAATTAAATATTTAAATTTATACTATACCCATATTTCTGTGAGCATAACTATAATATTAACATCATGTTCCCAAATCATTTGCCAAAAACTATGAACAGTTGTGGATAATGGACCTTGAGCTGCAATATAAAATTTCTGTGTTCCAACAACTGTTATCTGTAATATTTTACACACATAATTACTAAAATATAATTTTGTATTAATTTATTTTTTAAATTATTTTATTTTCCTTGCTTACTGCAATGTGAGATGCATTTATGTATCCAGTACGATTTTCTTTATTTGGTGTAATACGCACACGATTGTCTTCGTACGGTAAAACATCTTTGAACCTATTTCTGCCGAGATTCTCTGGAAGAATGGCTGTGCTGAAATCATCTATAGGTTTCTTCTTTATGATTTGTTCAAACTCTAAAAAAACTTGTCCCTCTGCCAATCTGTTTTCAAGTTGCTGTACCTAAATAAAACAAACACTACACAATTAGTTCTTTTTAACTAAGATTTATAATTTTACACTTAAATTTATGAACAGATAAATATTCATTGGCATAAAATTTAGGATTTCCTTCTTATATACAGTAGTCCAAAACACAAAAAATTATTTTACTTTATAATCAATTATGTTTTTTGACAAATTTTTGTGATAATTTTCTATCTAAAAATAAAAATATTATAATATTTGATGAGAGAGAGTTATTATGAATTTGATAAGCAATTTAAGACTTTCTTATTTTAAATTTAGAAAATTTTTAAATTATATAATGATTCAATAATTTTCTATTTTCCATGTAAATGAATTAAAACTTTTATAAACATATTTCAGATCATCTTACCCTTGCATCTCTTGGCTTTTTGTTTTCTTCTTCCTGAGTTAAAATTATATCGGGGTGGGATAATGCAAGACCATTCATGGCAGCTACTAGCATTGGACCCATGGCATGACTGCATTCTTCTTGTGATGTATCGGGTGTACTTTCTGATTCTTGTATAGTAGTAATTTTTGGATGACTATAATTTTTCCACTGTGCATGATGAATTACGTTAGCTTCTTGCCCTTTTATTTCTGGACATTGATATAAATTAGGTGTAAATGTATGTTTTTGATGATCAGAATCAGTCAGCACAGGTGGAATATTCCATAGAGAATTATTTGGCTGTTCAATATGTTCGTGGGCTACACTAGATTCATTTATATCATTTGTTTGATTAGTATGTTGCATCATCATGTTTTGATTAACATAATTATACAATATATCTGTATTTAATATAGTTGTGGAATTGGATGCTTCAATATTCTCTCTTACTTGCAAGTTGTTTCCAGCTAGATAATATGTTGGTGAAATTAAATTTGACTGATCATTCAGTTGAGTTTTTGAAGTAATTTCACTATAAGTAAAACTTTGACAGTTTCTAGTAGGTACAGAAGAAGAATTTTGAGGATAAATAGTTGGTTCGGAACCCATTCGATTTTGTTGATCTGATAATTGAGAATTAGATGCAGAATCTAAGTTATGACTTAAAACCAAGTTTTGATTGATTCCTCCCTGTTAAAATAAATGTAATAAAATTATTTCACAAGATATTCATTTTAAACAAAAGCAAAAGTTCTCCTGTTCTCAAGTGACTTAAAACTAAGAGTTATAAATACATACAGTAGAAACTTGATTATCTGAAATGGTTTTCAAAAAGAAAAAATACTAAAACAAGTAGCATTATACCAAGAGAATATACAGTACCTACAGAGACTGAACTCTTCATTGTAACTGGAATTTACTGTCATGATGTTGATTGTAGCACCACAAAACTAGGCAATAGATATGTAACATTAGATTTTGAGTAAATTAATTTACTTTAAATTACAGTAATTACTGTTCATAAAACTTTATATTTTGGATGCATTAAGCACTGTGCATTTAAAGAGAAACATATTTCTGGATTATACAAAAGATCCTGGCCCCATCAAGTTCAGATAATGAAATTTCCACTGTAATTATTCTAAATTGCTACACAAAATAGTTTACAAAAATTTGATATATGGTTTTAAATACACTAGACTCCTTAACATCAAGCAGTAAACCAATCTGTAAGAGTATTTCACTCTGCTATATTTAAAACATAAAAATTAATCAGAAATTGAATTTTGTATTACAAATAATTATTACAGTATTATAACTCCAGCAGTTTTATAAAATTCAATACTTTGTCATAACTTAACTACAGTCGACCCCCCCTATAACGTGCGTTCCTATAACGTAGCGAAAAAATTGTAGCAACATTCGTATAAAGCATCTCCTAAAACATCTTCGCCGACTCGTTTCGCGACAAGATTGATAGAGTCTGGACCAATAGTGAATGAGCAGCCGAACTACTTTCCTCCGACCCTGCGCTACGCTACGCGGCTAAATTGAGTTTGCTCTCATCTGTACAGTATTATATATAAATTATATATAAATTAGGTGGCCTACTGTATATATAATTATATATTAACTTAATTTATTGTAACTTTATTATAATTATATATATGCTTTCTGCCGCCTGGCAACACACTACGGAGATTTTAGGCAATAAGTTGAGTTTTTATTGTCTGTACAGTATGTAAATTAGGTACTGTAAGTCTAATACAGCACTAATTTTATACATTTCTTGTGAAAGAAACACTTCTTATTCAACGGCCATAAAAATTATTTATATTATTGATGTCTCCAAAGGTCAAGTTATTTTTCTGTGAAAAATTATTTATCAGAAATCGCGGCTGCCGTTTCGTATGCTGTTCCGCAACGAAGACAAGCTTTGAACAACGGCGTAGTCGAATGGTGCACATTTGGTAAGTAATCCTATAATTTTTTTTTTATAGCATAGTTTATACAGATTATTCCAAAAAAAATTATACGTGTTTTGGAAATGCTGAGTGGAATTAGTCTAGAATCGGTTAATTTTATATAAGAAAACCTTTCAAACAGCTTTAGTCCGTAAAGTTCATACCTATCGGGCTGCGACTGGCTCATGTATTTAATCATTCCTACAACGTAAAATTCGATTAGCGTGGAACGTATCTAAGCGTTATAGGGGGGTCTACTGTATAGTAAATATGGTCACAGTTTATTTTGCATTATTTAATACTTTATTGTTGAAAATTAAAAGTTATATTTAATTTTTACACACACAGTCAGTCAACATTAACTTCATATTAGTTTATTTGATAAAGAATTGATATCAATTCATCTATATCTTTAATACAAATTTTCATATGTTTTCAACATAACTTTTGGAGTAAGTTCATTTAATTTAATCATATAGATTCTGCTAAGTAAAGTAAATACAGTGGTACCTCAGTATACATCTGCTTTAGAATATGTCCAATTCGGAATACGTCCTGTTTGGACGAAACAAATTTTGTTCGGTATACGACATAATTCAATTATACGCGCCATCAATGAACAAGTAGCACTATTGGTGTACTAGACCAAACTAGACGTTTGCAGTGCAACGGTTTATAACTTTGTTAAATTTCTTCTGATTTTAATTCATAAGTAAAATTTTATTATTTTTATTAATCATGAATTGCAAAAGGGCAACAGAAAAATAAAAAAATGACTAGAATCATAGCGAAACTGAAAAAAGTGATTGTTGAGAAATATGAAGGTGGCACGCATGTTCGAGATTTAACTGTTGCATTCCGTATTCCGAGAACGACGATATTGACAATCGTGAAAAATAAAGACATTGCTGTATTAAATTTGCTAACATTGAGAAAGGGGTTAAATCAATTTTTAAACAGAGATCGAAGACATTAGATCATGTTGAGAAATTGCTTTTGCTTTGAATAACTGAAAAACAGTGTGCTGGTGACAGCGTATCGGAAGAAATTATTTGCGAGAAAGTTAAAAGGATACATGCTGATCTCATGAAAAATCAAGCAGGAACTAGCCAGAAAAGCGAGGTGTTTAAAGCCAGCCATTTTTTTTTACACGAGAACGGATTAATCATTTTTACATTACTTCTTATGGGAAAGGTTGGTTTGATATATGTCCAAACAAAGGGAACAGATTAAGGTTGTATACCGAGGTTCCACTGTATAAGAGTACAGAAAACATTCAAATGTAAGAAATTAATTAAGTTAAAAACAAAATTTTGAAATTACTTGTATTTACTAAGTTTATTATTAAAGAATTTTGTACAAAAGTATAAAAATAAAAATCTTAAAAATGTATATAACAATAATTTTAACACAATTAAATCAAAACTTGAAATTATGCTTCATATAACAATTGATGGATATGGAGTAAAGTATCTAACATTATTAGATCCTTATAGATGTAATAATTTTTTTAATCTTTTTTAAACAGCTAATAACTTTTCAACTTTTTTTAGGCATCAATACTTGATAAAAATTACATACAAAATAAGTTGAAATTTATAACATATTGAGTATTTAATAGCCATGTAAATAAGTTTTTAATAGTTATTACTGCATTTAATGTAAGAAAAATGTTGAATGAACTTTGCACCACTTTAAAACATTTAATAACAACAATAATTATAAAGTTTTTACCTGAACATTTCTTGTTAAATCTGGAGTACTTGAACTAGACCTTTGACCATAAGGATATGGTGGAGGTGGTTTATATTGATAATAAATATGCATATTTGAAGCTGTATGATTATTAGGATTATCTGATGCCAATCCCTTGGATGTAAGTTCTGGTGTACTGTAAGTATGTGTAGGGGACAAAAGAAGAGCATGAAGTGCAGAATGATCATAATGACTAAAAAGTAAGAAATAATTATTCATTTAAAATTGTTAGGTTTATTTAATTTAAATAAAATAATATTCTTACTTTGTTGTTACAGAACTATCAGCAATATTTCCATCTTGAGAATATTGTTCTATTTGCATTGTTTCTACATAATTTTTGTAATAAGAAATATAAGGATGGGAAGAATCATTTTCTCCAAAGGCAGGTGAATTAACATGCATTGCATTATAAACAGTAGATGTTGAAATATCACCAAGATTTGAACTGTTAAATAGAATACTTATTTTTGTACATTGCAATTATCAAAAACAACATTACAAGAAAATAGTATTATTAAATATATACTTCTAAGATAATTTTATGAATTTGAAAAAGTAAATGTAATCAAAAATCAATAATGTATTTATTTTTCAAAATATATCTATCAAGAATTCAAGCTCAGAAGAAAAAACTAACTATAGTGTATGAACAGAGGTATTTTTTGAATAAAAGAAACATTCCGTATATACAAACTATTGAAATTAAGCTGAAAAAGTAATTATTATAATAAATTTGCAATGTAAGAACAGATAAATGTATCTATTCTTAAATTATTACAATAAAAAAATTTGTCATTAACTAATTTTTAAAAGACAAAGATATATATGAGAATGATTTATTAAATGCTTCTTATCTAAGTACAGAATAAGGTTACTTTCTACTTATTGTATTTTAAATAGTTATAAATTATTTTTTTTTACCTATTTACTCCATATTTTTGTCTTATAGCAGTTTCATAATCAGGTGCCTGACGATATGAAGGAAGCAAAATTTGCTTTGCTTCCAAATCATTAACTCCTTGATGATTAAATGAGGATACAGTAGTATTTTCATTTAGCTGTGTCAATGAACCTAAACTACTCTGAGATAAAACGTTTGGTCCTGTGTTGCTCCCAGAAGAGAGAGACTGGAGAGAATCAACAGGCATGGAGGATATTTGAACAGACGACCGATTCTCTAGTTTATTATCATCTGGTACAGTCTTGTATTGTTCTTCGCACGATAAAGGTACCCGTTCACTATATCTTCCTTCTGTGTGATAGACACCTAATTCATCTATTAGTAATAAGAAATAATTAAGTACAGAATTTTTTATATATATAAAAAATGTATTCAGAAATAACTACCTAATGATTCTTGACTTGCTTGTAAGTCACCAGAAGACTTTGCTTTTTCCTAATTAGAAAAACAAGTATCATAACTTGGGTATTGGCACTATTTAAATTTAATTCTTCAAAACTAATGCATTATATAAATTGTTAAAAGCTAATAATTTACTTATTTGGAAGTTCTGTTATCTGCTTTTCATGCTACTGATTGGATAACGAAGGGCAATAAGTTATAGTTCAAAGATTAAGAACAAATATTATTGGCTATTATTAAAAATTAAATAGATCAAAGTTAAATTCATGACAATTATCCAAATAATAGATCTATCCATTTATTCAGTACTACATATTTTATAGTATATTAACACTCGATGTTTTTAAATTATTATAATTCCAATACTTTTGAAGTCATTAAATTCTTTTGTTTAAAATATATTTCATTATAATTAGCAAATCTATATATTTTTTTGTTTGAAACCCAATGTTTTCTACCTTATTAGTGAATCAAATTTGTTACCTAACATGAAGTTAAAACACAGACACAATTGGTCTTTAAGGTCCTTAAAAGGTCTTAAAGCAAACTTTATGGCCAATAAATGCTCTCATTTTTTGTATAAATTATGTTAAAGCCTTTTCTAAATAGTTTACATAAAATACTGAAAAAATTAAATTAACATTTAAAATATTGCATGAAATATATTTAAATAAAAAGAATTTAACAACTTCAAAAATATTAAAATTAAAATAACTGATAATGTACAGTCAGCCCTAACTTATGACCACTAAAACTAATGCATTATAAAATTATTTGTAATTCCAAACTCTTCTTCAAACTAGTCATACTTAATTATTATATTGTGTCATTATCATTTTATAAAATGGACAATAAATATATTTTACATAAGAATAGTTAAATACACAAACTTATAAATTACAGTTCAGGCCCAAATTTATGTCCAAAAAGTGAAATATTCTTCAGAGCTCTTAGTCAACATAATTTTTATTTAACAATAAAAATAACTCCATAATTTTCTTTATTTACTTTAGCATTCTAATTTCAAATTTTAAATAATAATAAACAATATGAAGATTGCAATACTCCACAGTAGGATTTTTAATTCCCTTGACAGTTAAATGCAAACTTAACAAAGATTCATGGAATATGCTGTCAACAAAATAGCATAATAAATAAATTAATATAGTAAACATTGGCTTGAAGTGAAATACACTGTTTAGGTGTATNATGCATGAACAAATATTGAAAATATTGTAAGCCATTACTTTGCAAATTAACCAAAAGATAATACTGTGTCAATACACCTAAACAGTGTATTTCACTTCAAGCCAATGTTTACTATATTAATTTATTTATTATGCTATTTTGTTGACAGCATATTCCATGATAGCATGACAATTATTCAAATAATGAATGAATCCATTCATTCATTATTATATAAGGTGATGCAAAAATCACTTGACAATTAAGATGTACTTAGTAATGCAAAAATCTGATATACAGTTACATTTTACATAGTTACAAATGTTCAAAGTGATTACTGTCAGCAGTTAAATAGTATTTATATACAGTATGTATCTCTAATAGTCTTTCATCCTTACTTAATACTTGGTCACTGTCAAGTGACTTTTACTCACACTGTATATACAGCTAGTCCCCACCTTATAATGGGACTCTTGTTGTATTTTGAATTGGTTTTAAACAAATGGTCTTAACAAAAAATAATAGTGATAGTGGAATATGGTTTCCTAGGCCATGCATGAACAAATATTGAAAATATTGTAAGCCATTACTTTGCAAATTAACCAAAAGATAATACTGTGTCAATACACCTAAACAGTATATTTCACTTAAATTAATATAGTAAACATTGGCTTGCAATTAAATATTAAACTTACCTCTCCAATCTGTAATTTATTATTGGANAGTAAACATTGGCTTGAAGTGAAATACACTGTTTAGGTGTATTGACACAGTATTATCTTTTGGTTAATTTGCAAAGTAATGGCTTACAATATTTTCAATATTTGTTCATGCATGGCCTAGGAAACCATATTCCACTATCACTATTATTTTTTGTTAAGACCATTTGTTTAAAACCAATTCAAAATACAACAAGAGTCCCATTATAAGGTGGGGACTAGCTGTATATACAGTGTGAGTAAAAGTCACTTGACAGTGACCAAGTATTAAGTAAGGATGAAAGACTATTAGAGATACATACTGTATATAAATACTATTTAACTGCTGACAGTAATCACTTTGAACATTTGTAACTATGTAAAATGTAACTGTATATCAGATTTTTGCATTACTAAGTACATCTTAATTGCCAAGTGATTTTTGCATCACCTTATATAATAATGAATGAATGGTTTCATTCATTATTTGAATAATTGTCATGAATTTAACTTTGATCTATTTTCTTCTTATTTACATTTTTATTTTTTAGTATATGTTATAATCCATGCAGAAATACTTCATATTAAATTACTGAACTAATTTTTTATACCTACAGATAATAAACAAAATGGCTGTAAAAATTGAGCAATTAAATCAAATATTTTTCACTTCTTTATATTTGTAATTAATTTAAAATAACATTTCAGCTTTGTGTAACTAGGTATCTTTTGATCTCAGATGAATCTTGGTCATTGTGTAAATAAAAGTAAATACAAAATAGAAATTATCTCCAATTAATCTCCTCCTCAGAATCAATTGCATTACTTGAAAATTTTCATGATAACAGTATTATAAACAGTTTAAGTAAAAATTAATTTAAAATATTTAAGTAGAGTCCCTAGATTTATAGAGTACCATATTCCTTTGCAGTGGACAAAACAGTGTCTACTGGCTATTTTTATGCTACTAGTTCAATTTTCTTTGTTGTGCACTGTCTATTGTGACATTTTAGATTAAAAAAATTGGATGTTCGTTGCGCTGTTGGATGTTCAAATATCCCCAAAACAGGTTTCTGGTTATTTAAACTTTCTCAATAATCCAAAAGTTTGGAAAGATACAAATTAGATAAAAGATGCTCTACATTTCAATCTCTTTCTATATTTTGTAACTATGTTTTCCAGGTTAATAAATGTTGTAAAAAGATTGTTATTGTTTTGTATGATCCTTAGCTAATCACACTAAGGAGGGATTAGCTACAGGCTCAAATTTGGCTTGTTTTGTATGATGACCTGTTTCATTGTATGGTGCTTGGTAAACTCATTTTTAGAACCTAACCTAACTCATCATTATTGATACTTGGTGTATTAAAAAGAATAATTAGTCATTATGAAGGATGGCTTTGCATCTGATCATCATATACACAAAGTCCAATTTTTTCTTTCCAAGTATGCTATGCAAAAATTTTTGAAATATTAATTTAAACATTTTACAATGAGTAATAGAAACTTTTATAATAATTTTAATTCAAACTGGCTAAAATAATAAATTAACAGCCATTTTAAGCTAAAAACCTTTAACACTATACATTAAAGTGACAAATATGGTGGCAAGGAGAATGTAATATGTATATTTAGTGGCTCTGTAGTCAAGATTCTTCCTATACATCAAGATAATTATTGTCAGATAATCTTTTTCTCTATTTTTAATTTAAACTAATTTATAAATGAAAAAAAAAATTATCTACTTTTACATGTTTATAATTTCAAATATTTTTGTAAATGTTTTATATACATTATTTTAATCTGTTTAACTATTATTATAACAAATAGTGAGTGAAGAAATGAGTCCAAAGGACAAGTAAACATCTCATTTACTTCTACTTTGGACATTACCTGTATTAAACACACAAAAAGTTATATTATTAATGAAGTTTATTAGAACAACGTATATAATTAACAAATAAAAACTTCTTCAAAAAAAGAAGTATTAATATTTTTCAGAAACTTTATTTAAATTTATAAATTTGCCTGAAAGCTAACAATATGTTCAAACTAGATATGTTCAGACATAATACTGTATATAGAAATTTGAGCCTTTCACACAGCACAGAATTACAATTTATGTACGACTTTTATAACTATTTCTATTTGGATCAATGATAGATACTTAAGATGTCTTATATTTGATTTAATGACAACTGTCTTAACCAAAATTATGATGATTAATAAGGGGTAGTCAAAAAAAATTTATACAATTTTGAAACCAAATTATGTCAAACTCCAGAAAGCATCAATGCATCAAATGCTGACATATTCTACATTCAAATTTCAAGGAATCAATATTCAAAATTGTTCAAACTTAAAATGAAGCAGCCTGAACATGATGCTTTCACTAAGCATGTTGTGAAGTATTTAGAAGAGGTTGCAAACATGAAAAAATGCAAAATGGTCCAGAACGTTACTGGAGAATTAGTCAGTCATTAAATAGCATAATATTTTAAGAAAATATGAAAAATGTGTGAGATTGGGCAGTGGCTTGAAACTTCTAACACCTAAGATATTGATTGACAAAGTAAAGGACAAAATTAGTAAACTTTTCAATTGAAACCCAACATTTCACTCCCTGTTTTAGCTGAAAACTAAAGCTGGTTGACTTTAGTTGCCATTAAAGTTGGAAAGTTGGGCATAAAAGAACAGGTTAAAACCACAGCAGTGAAGTAATCAGGAAATCATGTATAATTGTCAATAAGAATGGCCTTTATTGAAGATGAAACTTACATGCCTCAAGACCCAACCAACATACTAGGATGCCATTTCTACCAAGCCTGGGATACAGTTGATATCTTTAGAAGACATCAAATTCAAGGATAAAGCAAAATTGCCCAACCCATTTCTTTTAGGAATGTCTAAATACTTTTGGAACCTTTCATTTCTGAGCAAACTATAACAGCTATGGTGCATGTTGAGGAGTGTTTGATATTTTTCATTAACAAGCATTGTGAATACAAGAAAGTGCTCTTCTGGCCAGACCTTGCTTCAACTTACTATGCCACTTCAGTGACCAACTTTCTCAGAGTCTCTGGCATTCATTTTGTTGAGAGTACTTAGAATATATCTAGCATTCCTCAGGCTAAACATGCAGAGAGATTTTGGACAATTTGTAAGCAGAAGTATTTCTTTCAAAATTACCAATCAAAATCTCTTCTGATTCTGTTTCACACATGCTTGAATCCATGAAAAGAGCTAGCAGAAGAATCAGGCAAAGTGCTAATGAAGAGAATTAGGAGATCAGCAAGGAAGACATTTCATGATGCAAATACATGTTTTCTATAATTTATCCATTGGAAATTATAGATTACAGATATGACAACGCAATGCAAACAACAAATGTGTGTTTCATTTCCATGCACTATACATTGTTTTATTTCAAATATCAATTTACTTCATGACCACCTTCTTCTATTCAAAGTTTGCTAAATATAGTAACTTAAAACATACTATAATAGGATTTTAAAAAAATTTTTAAATATTAATCAGCTTATCTCATTTAAGGATTCATTGTTAACTACTACTAAATTTGAAAATGAATATGAATTAAAATTGTTTATCACAACAATGAGATAAAACTTAAGGATTAAAAAAATTTAGCTATTAATAAATAGCTATGCTTATTTAATACACAAATTTCAATTATCAACATATCCTACCATTCTCTACAATAAAAGCATTTAATATGTGAGCCTAGAACATAGAATTGTATGTTAAAATTATTTAAAAAATTATGAACCAAGACATTTTGCTAAAATATTACATCTAACATAAAATGTTGAAATAAAGATTTTCAATTCAAATAAAAAAATCTACATATAAACATCCTTACTAACATGATGCATTGCAATAACAACCAATGTTTTATGACAATTGTTGGTGTGTTAAAAAAAATCTAGCAATGAGTTGCATAACTTTCCTGGCTATTATGAGATTTTTACTTTATTTAGTTATTAAGCATAACAGATGGTGCCACACACAATTTTATTTATTATTAGATTTTGTTATAATAAGTTTGAGGGTAGGATGAGTTTTATAATTAAGTCCTTTATATATTTTTAAAGATTTGCAAATGCTAACAAGTAAAATCTTCATTAAGCCCAACCTGCACACAAGATATGACATGTGACCATGCCCTATCTACCCCCTCGAGCTTTTATCATAAAAATTTAATAGCATCAATGCCCCTTATACACAAGCTCCCATGCCAAATTTTGTTTCTTAATCTTTACCCTATCCTGAGATATTAAATGAAATAAATGAAAGCATACACACACACACACACACACACACCCATAAAATTTTTTTTTGCCCCCTTTTATACATTTTTGGTTCAGGGTATCTCAAAACATGGAGATTTGCAAAAACTCAGAGTCAAATTTGATGCGATCCCCATACTTTCCCTTGTTATGTATACATAACAACCGGGAAAGTAAAAGCAACAAATTAAATTTTATAAATATCCTGTAATTTTATTTACGAAGAATACTTTCCTGCTAAATAAAATTAATATCATCCACCCAGTTCAACATCAGTTGCATTCTAAAAGCATCTATGAAAGTTAGATTAAGAATAATGATTAAATTTGCATTTTTATTTGCCAAAAACATAGTCTATAATTTAAATTCATTCACTTTAGAAATAGTTTTAAATTATAAATCTCCCAGTTCAATCTCATTTAGCAAGAAAGATTTTGAAAATCATTAGTTTTGTCTTGTTTTGTTAATTTGATTACTTCTTAAATTAACTAGAAAAAGTTATTCAAAATTAATACCTATAATTTATTTCTAAAAATATATCTGTAACAATTAATATTTAAACTTAATATTAAATTTGATAAAATTGCAATAATTTCAATACATTCAAAACAACTTGAATAGTTTAATATAAAAAGATCATAGAATAAAGCTTACATAATTTAGGTTTTCTGGTACCGAGTTAGTTTCAGTATTCCTATAAAGACATATGTATAAATAAAACTCAATTAGGTATCTCAAAAAATCAATATTTTGCATTATACTTACTTTATTTTATTTATACCTTCAACTGGTTCTTCTTCAGTAATAGCTTCTGTGCTATTTTAAGTTTTATTCACAAAGGCATTATTTTATAACTATAAAATTTTATAAAAATTTTGATATCATTATAAAATCTTTTTATTTACCTTTTTGTGGATTCATGTTGAGTATAAAACCTATGCTGGTTAACACATATTTTCCATACGTATGAAGCAAAATGTGAATCCTCCTAAAATTTTTATATATGTGAAATCTCATTTACAAATTCCAAAAATATTTATTTTAAATGTAAAATTTAATAATTTACTTTTTATATATGAGATAGCAAAACAGGAATATTTTTCCTATGTATTAAAGAAAACAAAATTTCATAAAATGGTATTCTAGGTATCAATAGTTAAAATTTAACTCTCTTAGCATATAAAGCATTTTAGTTTTGAGATTTCAAATAAGACTTCTCTGGTAACATACTCTATGTCCTCCTTCAAATGTGCCAATTTGTTTTTCTGTAAGAAGTCTGTTTATACTCAAACATTTCATATCAGTAAGAGAGTGAGTGAATAAGTCAAGTCAGTCCAATATAGCTTTTTTATATTAGATTTAAATGTTTAATAACTATTTTATTTCCTAGCAATAAAATAACACTATTGTTCAGTCAGCAATGACAGGCAATACTATTGAGTCATTTTTTTCAATTTAGATATATATTTTAATCTTATTGCCAGCAAAACAGAATAAGTCCATTATTTAGCACAATGCTTACTAGAAATCTTTCCTTTCTTGTCAACTGATCTTAACTTTTATTCCCTCTCCAGAAAAAAAAGGATCAGAAAAATATTTTGCAGCCAATTATACATTAAATCAATAATAAAGGATTCAAGTATATGGATTGACATAGGGATGGTTGTAAAATGGATAGAAACAATTATTTTAAAGAATGATTTGTTTGATGTACAGATTGAAAATGTTATATAACTTCTTTATATTTATTGCTGTTATAAATTATCTAATTCCTTCATTATTCATGTGTGTTCAAATTTGAATAGAAATATTTTAAAAATTAATGTCTTTACAATCAATTTACTTAAGCATATGCTTAAATATACATATATTGAAAGAAATATTCATGAAAAATTTTATTTATTTTAATTGAACACATTCTAAGTTTGAGAATCTCCAATTATTGTATTATTGTTATAAATAATTTTGCATTTGTATTCTGAAAATGGGTTCATTAATCAGAGATGTAAAATATTCTAATTATTTAAATTTTCTTTAAAATCTGCCTATTTCAAATTGATTATTATTATTTTAAGTGAACACAAAAAAGTTTTGTAGATATATTCAAAACATTAAACAATAATTTTTCCTAATAGAAAATGAAATTTTTTATCAGACTAGATATTGTTGTTATTTTATTTTTTTTTTTTAATTTTCAATAGTTGAAATCTATGAATAAATCACAAAATTATGTATACAAATATCAGGATACAGATAAAATTTATATATATTGATAATTAGATTTATATTTAAAAAATGTTATACAAAACAGAATAAAAGAAAATCTATAATTATCTTTTTACCATTTGAAATTGAATTTGCTTCAATGTTTTGTGACATTCTATACCAAAAATTTTTTTATGATGAATGATATTAATTATTTCTTGCCATCTAATAAAAAATAAGACTTATTAAGTAAAAAATACACAATGTATCAGATTATTATTATCATCATCATTATTATTATTATCTACAATACTTACTTAAAATATAATGTAGAATGACTATTTTGGTATTTAACTGTTATGCCAGCAGAAGATATACCAATAATGAGTTCTAATCCAGATGAATCCTACACAAAATAAATATTCTCAATATCTGATTATATAAATTTAAAGATAAAGATAATCTTTCTGAAATTTTAATAAAGTATAATAATTTTAGATAATCTAACTAAAAACTTGTACATTCTGTCACATTTATATACAGTCAATCCCCCTATAACACGGTAGATATGTTCTGTTCTAAGAGTCCTTGAATACATGAGCCAATCACAGCCCGGCACATATGCAGTTTATGGACTACGACTGTTTGAAAGGTTTCTTCCATAAAATTAATCAATTCTAGACTAATTCGACTCAACATTTCCAAAATACGTATAATTTTTTGGGAATAATCCATATAAACTATGCTATAAACAAAAAATTGTAGGATTACTTACCGAGTGTGCACCGTTCGACGATGCCATTGCTTAAGCTTGTTTTCGTCATGGAGCTTGTCATCAAATGGCGCTCGCATGCTTCCTGATAAATAATTTTTTTGCGAAAAAATTCACTGAACTTTGGAGACATCATTAATATAAATATAATTTTTATGGACGTTAAATAATAAATGCTTTTTAGTAGGTCTGCTGCTTGTTTAAACTCAACGGTTTGTACAATATCCACTATTGGTCTAGATTCAACCAATCCTGTTGCAACACGAGTTGGCAATGACGTTTTACCAAACTATACAAGTTTTTCTAGAGTGTTTGTACGAATACTGTTGAAATTTTTTCACAGTCATAGGAATCTGAACTATATTAACCCGTGTTATAGGGGGAGGATCAACTGTATTTAATTTAAAATTTAGAAGCAGAATTAGGTAATTGGCTAATTTTAGTTTTCTGTTTTAATGATTTTCAACTTTCTCTCTGAAGTTTCCCATTTAAAAGTGGAAAATTGAAAATCATCAAAAACAGAAAATTAGAATTAGCCAATTGCCAAATCCTACTTTTATCAAAATTGCTGATAAGAATAATTAAGAAGTATTCACAGCTTAACAGAGATATAATAATACGAAACATAAAAGAAAGAAAAGTTACTAGATGATAAATTATAGAAATTAAAAATTTTACAATTTACAGGGTTCCTACTCAGATTTTTGTTTTAATTTCCATAACTTTCTGACTTCCCAATCAACTTCTTACAAATTTCCTGACCCTCACATCCCTTACAGCATTTGACTTACTATGCACATATATATTTTGATTCTCCAACATTTTAATTAGTTAATTAGAAAAAATAACAGTTATATATTTTTTTTTACAATTGCAGAATTATTAAAATAAAATGTATTATTAAAATTCTGTTATTAGTTCACAACCATAAATCTACATGACTTTGAAAAAAATAAAAAAAATCAATTATCTTTTATTATTCATTATATTTTTTTCTTAACAAATTTCCTGAACTTTATAAAATATTAATAAACTGGAAAAAATCAGAAATTGTTTTGTTATGCAATCAAAATTATTAAAATGACAAATAGTTTAAATGGTATTATTTATCATTTTGTGTACTTTACACAATTTTTTCCAAAAATTTACAAGCATGGGAGAAATTTTAGGTCCTAAAAATATTCTGCGCTCCTTTTCATAAGTTGTATTGCACCACATTACTTCTTGCTGCCTGCAGATGGCTACACTAATCAAACATATTATCAGCAAAAAATCAACAAGACAGACAAGGAAGCAAATTTTGACTTTGACTGACAATTTTTAACAAATTTCCTGACATTCATGACTTTTTCTGAACACTAATGAAAATCCCTGACTTTTCAGGTGTGTAGGAACCCTGAATTTATTAACAATAATTTTTTAACCTACATAAGTTATAATAAAATATCAATTTATGCTAACTTTTCCAGGAAATATCTCTTGACCATATCCAGCAATCTGTTGCGCTTCCATTATATAATATACTTCTGCTCTAGCAGGTGATAAATTTTGCAAACTGATATGAGTACTAATGACTTGTTCCATTAATGCTTCCTGATTCTCCTTCCCAGATATCATATTCTATAAAGAAATAATTTATTGGAAAATAATTTTAAATAATTACATATCTGAAAGTATAGTGAAAATAATACTCACTTTAGGTAAGAGAACAAAATTGCTGAGGTATTCTATGCTATGCCGTTTTGGATCATGATCCCCAAATTCAGCTGGAAAAAAAAAAAAATCAAAAATTATTTGTTTGTTTGTAATCTTTCTGATTACAGAACAGCACATTCTTATTTCATCACATCTTTTCTAATGCAAACAAACAGGAATTTGATCTGTTAAATGATGTTATTTCACTAAAAATAAACAGAACTTTTTCAAAATAATTTTAATCTTACAATAACAAAAAGACAAAAACGTCGTCATTATTTTAAAAACTATATTCAAATATTTATAACCATTTCTAATCATCTTAAAATGTTATTTTTAAGTAAATACAATAATGAGTTTATAACTTTCTATAAATGTTTTATAATTGATAAAAATAAAATCTTATCATTTTCCATACTTTTAAAATTTCCAAATATTGTTCATTGTGGGGCAGTGTCCGAGCTGAAAGTGCCAGAACCAGTTTTGTTTTCTTTACAAAAATGGATATGTTTAGATACCTAAAGTCAGATGTTTATAAATGAACTGTCACTAACAGGAGGAACAAATGCAATTTAGCAGCCATTACTCTTGGTCAGATGCTGTTTGAGTGTCATTTTTAGCTTCATTTCTCTACATGGACCTTACTGGTATGGATGACATGAGAACTAATTAGACCATATTTTATTCCAATGAACCATAAAGCAAGGCTGCTGGAACTACAAGCTTCTGGCAGTTTTGTTCTGTGGTTCATTGGAAGTAGGTCTCCATCTCAATAATTCTCAGTAGTCATTGTCTTGTTATTTAATTTTGTAAATAAAACAAAAAATTTTTATCATTGGCTACAGTTTTATTTCTACACAATGCAACTTAGATAATTCTGTATCAAATATTTCATTTTTTCCATTTCTTTTATTTTTCAGTTATATCCAAGGATCCAAGAAGGGGGCCAATAAGGAGCAAATTGTCCTCAAGCCCTGAGAAGTAGGCCTGTAAACAATGTTTTTTTGTTTACTTCCTTCACTTTAATATAATTTAATTTGCTAGGGTCACCAATATGCATTTTGCTTCAGGCTCCTGTTACATTCCAGACAGCCTTGGTTCCATCTAAAATGAATTGCCGAAGAAAATGAAACAAATGGGAAAAACATCATCTGAAATGAAATTTTCAAAACTATGTGAATTAAATGATTTTTCAATGGCAACTTTGGATGTGTTATTTAAGTAAAGAGAGAATTTGCAATTTCAGCTGGTTGTTGTACATATATTGGGTTGTTCAGAAAGTAATTTCATTTTTTTTTACCACTAGGCAGATTAGTCATATTTTACCCGCCATTTTCATTCTAAACTGTATTATCATTATATATTTTGAAAGCTAGCATTTTAAGTCTTATTTATAAAACATTTTGTTTGATTTTGTGCAATTGTTTATTTTTTTGTGTCCCATCAAATATGGAAGATCAAAAGCAGCATTTTTGGCATATTTTGCTCTTTTATTACCAAAAAGGTAAGAAGGCTGTTCAAGTGAGAAAAAAATTGTGTGACGTGTATGGAGAAGATGTATTGACAGAATGACAGTGCCAAAAGTGGTTTGCAAAATTTCGTTCTGGCAATTTCAATATTGAAGATGCACCACGTTCTGGATGGCCAGCTGAAGCAATGAAAGCAAAATAAAGGTACTGATTGAAAAAAACTGCTGAATAACAACACATGAAATCACTAAGAGATAAAATTTGTCAAATTGAACTGTTTATGATTACTTGAAACAAATTGGTTTTGTTTCAAAGCTCAATATATGAGTTCCACATGTTCATAAAGAGAGATGCTCTCTTCGGTGGGATTTTAAGGAAATTTTTTTTTGGAACTTTTACCAGACAATTTAACAATTGATTCAGAAGTGCACTGCCATAGAGTAAACAAATTGAGTAATATCATCAAATAGAAAAGATGGCCAGAATTGATCAACAAAACAGGTGTAGTGTTTTACCACGATAGTGTCAAATTTCACACAAGTTTGGTAACTGGTCAGAAACTGTTATAACTTAGATGGGCCATGCTATCACACCAACCATATTCGTCAGATTGAGCACACTCAGATTATTAATTGTTCCGGTCTATACAAATTTTTTTAAACTGTAAGACATTTACTTGAAATGACAATGTCAAAAATCACTTGGATCAGTTTTTTGTAAGCAACAATCAAAAATTTTATGAATGTGAAATCATGCTACTACCAGAAACGATGACAACAGGTATTTGACCAAAATGGTTGATATATAATTCAATAAAATATTTATTTATTATAAAAATATTGTTTTTTTTTTTCCACGGAAAAAAAACGAAATTACTTTCCGAACATCCCAGTACATACCTGTAACAATCAGAATTCATTTAAAGCTTAATATTTGGGAGTTTAAAAAAATAAACAAATAAAATAAAAAAAATTGTTTTTCAAAATGCACACATTATGCATTATGAGTATCCATTTTGTTTCTCAATATCAAGAAAAAATTATGTTCTTTCCTATTTTGAACACTGGTAAGAAAAAATGAATCTTGCATAGTAACATTTAGCACAAAAGATCATTCTGCAACAGTTCAAAATGCCACCATCTATGTCCAAAGTCAACATTCAATAAGATAATAGTGAGAATTTAGAAAACTATATTATGGAATACTACCACACGGCCAAATGATTAATACTGACTTTTGACAAAAATTGACTATTTAACAGAAAGTACTACCTTTTTAATTTGTGCAAATTCAGCAAATCAGAAGAACAATGTTTTATCAGAATAATGTAGTAATTAGTGATGTAACGAATATTCGGTTACTATTCGGTATTCGGCCTACTTTTCACTATTCGGCCGAATACCGAATATTTAATCACTATTCGGCCAAATACCGAATACCTAAAAACAGGAGTAATAATAACAAAAACGCAGTAAATTAATCATTTTGGTATTTAGATTTAATGTTATCGAGTTAGTGCTGTTTGTTTATATTTATTTATAACTTGTAACATGCACAAAATAAAAAAGAAAATAATATTAGTCACATGTATTCACAATTTATAATTACAAAGATTAGCACACGTACACGTCTATCATTGGAGAATCCTGGCACATCCGAGGGTCTGACCCTGCCTATCCTTCTTTTTAAGCGCTCGTCTTTGCTCTTCCCTTTCTNATTTACTTTTTATATATGAGATAGCAAAACAGGAATATTTTTCCTATGTATTAAAGAAAACAAAATTTCATAAAATGGTATTCTAGGTATCAATAGTTAAAATTTAACTCTCTTAGCATATAAAGCATTTTAGTTTTGAGATTTCAAATAAGACTTCTCTGGTAACATACTCTATGTCCTCCTTCAAATGTGCCAATTTGTTTTTCTGTAAGAAGTCTGTTTATACTCAAACATTTCATATCAGTAAGAGAGTGAGTGAATAAGTCAAGTCAGTCCAATATAGCTTTTTTATATTAGATTTAAATGTTTAATAACTATTTTATTTCCTAGCAATAAAATAACACTATTGTTCAGTCAGCAATGACAGGCAATACTATTGAGTCATTTTTTTCAATTTAGATATATATTTTAATCTTATTGCCAGCAAAACAGAATAAGTCCATTATTTAGCACAATGCTTACTAGAAATCTTTCCTTTCTTGTCAACTGATCTTAACTTTTATTCCCTCTCCAGAAAAAAAAGGATCAGAAAAATATTTTGCAGCCAATTATACATTAAATCAATAATAAAGGATTCAAGTATATGGATTGACATAGGGATGGTTGTAAAATGGATAGAAACAATTATTTTAAAGAATGATTTGTTTGATGTACAGATTGAAAATGTTATATAACTTCTTTATATTTATTGCTGTTATAAATTATCTAATTCCTTCATTATTCATGTGTGTTCAAATTTGAATAGAAATATTTTAAAAATTAATGTCTTTACAATCAATTTACTTAAGCATATGCTTAAATATACATATATTGAAAGAAATATTCATGAAAAATTTTATTTATTTTAATTGAACACATTCTAAGTTTGAGAATCTCCAATTATTGTATTATTGTTATAAATAATTTTGCATTTGTATTCTGAAAATGGGTTCATTAATCAGAGATGTAAAATATTCTAATTATTTAAATTTTCTTTAAAATCTGCCTATTTCAAATTGATTATTATTATTTTAAGTGAACACAAAAAAGTTTTGTAGATATATTCAAAACATTAAACAATAATTTTTCCTAATAGAAAATGAAATTTTTTATCAGACTAGATATTGTTGTTATTTTATTTTATTTTTTTAATTTTCAATAGTTGAAATCTATGAATAAATCACAAAATTATGTATACAAATATCAGGATACAGATAAAATTTATATATATTGATAATTAGATTTATATTTAAAAAATGTTATACAAAACAGAATAAAAGAAAATCTATAATTATCTTTTTACCATTTGAAATTGAATTTGCTTCAATGTTTTGTGACATTCTATACCAAAAATTTTTTTATGATGAATGATATTAATTATTTCTTGCCATCTAATAAAAAATAAGACTTATTAAGTAAAAAATACACAATGTATCAGATTATTATTATCATCATCATTATTATTATTATCTACAATACTTACTTAAAATATAATGTAGAATGACTATTTTGGTATTTAACTGTTATGCCAGCAGAAGATATACCAATAATGAGTTCTAATCCAGATGAATCCTACACAAAATAAATATTCTCAATATCTGATTATATAAATTTAAAGATAAAGATAATCTTTCTGAAATTTTAATAAAGTATAATAATTTTAGATAATCTAACTAAAAACTTGTACATTCTGTCACATTTATATACAGTCAATCCCCCTATAACACGGTAGATATGTTCTGTTCTAAGAGTCCTTGAATACATGAGCCAATCACAGCCCGGCACATATGCAGTTTATGGACTACGACTGTTTGAAAGGTTTCTTCCATAAAATTAATCAATTCTAAACTAATTCGACTCAACATTTCCAAAATACGTATAATTTTTTGGGAATAATCCATATAAAC